TAACAGTATGTCTCCCACTCCATAAACACAGGCTGTCTTTCCAGTGCTTCTTTAGGTCTTGGTCTTCTGAATTTCATATGGTGATTTTTAGTTTTCAGTACACAACTTTCATTTCTAGAGTTAATTTTATTCCTAAACATTTTTTGTTTGTTTTTGGTTTTTCAAGGCAGGGTTTCTCTGTGTAACAGCCTGGCTGTCCTGGAATTTACTTTGTAAACAAGGCTGGTCTCGAACTCATAGAGATCTGCCTGCCTCTGTCTCCGAGTGCTAGGATTAAAGGTGTGCACCACCACTACCTGGTTCCTAAACATTTTTAATAGAATACAAAAGTGGCTTTTAGTTGGGGGGGGGGGTTGTAGGGGAGGAGAGGAGGGAGAGGGAACTGGGATTGACATGTAGAATAATCTTGTTTCTAATTCAAATAAAAAAAAGAATAGGAAAGTGGTAGTATAAAAGGAAGAGAAGGGTAATTCGAGACATGAAGATATCATTTATTTACTTTATGTGTCCATGCATAATCTGCATGCATGCAGGGACTGTGGAGTCTAGAAGAGGGTGCAGGATTCCCTGGACTGGAGCTATGGAGCATTGTCAGCTGCCATATGGGTGCTGGGGATCGAACCTAGGTCCTCACTGGAAGAGCAGCCATTATTCATTACCGCTGAGCTGTCTCTCCAGTCCTCTTCAGTCTAGTTCAGTCATTTGCTGTTATTATAAATGAATTGTTCCTTAATTATTTTTGACTTGCTGACTTTGAAAATTAAAGCTGCTATGGAAATCACAGTCACAAGGATCTGTATACTTCTGAGAACACACAGAAGGACAAGTGGACCCCTTCCTATCTTAGCCTCCATATGAAAACCCAGCACTGGTCAATCCCTTGACTTCAGTGTTGTGAGACCCTAAACAAAGGACTTGCTAAGTTGTTCCAGGCCTTCTGACTCACAAATGTGTGAGACAACAGTATGCATTATTTAAAGCTGTGAAGTCTGGAATAATTTGAATGGTAAAGAAAAACATAGTTTGTAACAAAATATTTATATATCTAACCATAAAACCCAGTCATTCTAGTATTAGGAATTTGCCTAGAGAAATGGAAATACATACCCCTAAACTCTTGTACATTAGTGTTCGTAAAAGCTAAAGTGGAAAGCAATTTAAATGTACATCAATAGGTGAATTAATAAAATATGGTTTCATGAAATAATATTCAGCAATAAAAAGAATTACAGATATACAAAGTGAGAAATAATTATGCTGAGATGGAAGGACCTGAGACCGAGTGATCAGCTTTCTGTCACTGCAGATCAATTAGTTAGCTTTAGTGGATGCCAGTGTTCTATTGCTGTGAAGAGACACAACTCTTACAAAGGAAAACATTTAATTAGGGCTGCTTACAGGTTCAGAGGCTTAGTTCATTGTTGTCATAGTGGGAAATATGGCTGTATGTAGGCAGTCATGGTGTTGGAGAATTGCTGAGAGTTTTGCATCTGGATCAGCAGGTGTCAAGAAGAAAGTATGACTCTGGCTTGAGCTTTTGAAATCTCAAACCCCACCCCCAGTGACACACTTCCTCTAACAAGGCCACATGTCCTAATCATTTCAAATATTGTCACCCACTATGAGCCTATGGGGTTCATTTCCATTCAAACCACCACAATCCACTCCCTGGCCCCCTGAGGCTTGTAGCCATAGCATAATACAAAACTACATTCAGTCCCACTTCAAAAGTCTATCACAGTGTCCATACTATTCGTAGTTCAAAGTCTCTTAACTATAACTATAACACCCTGTAAAGTCAAAATGAAAAAGCGGGTCACATATCTTCAACATAATATACATTACCATTACAAAAGGGAGGAAAGGGAGCACAGTAAGGAAACAAACTGGACCAAAGCAAGACCAAAACCCAGCTGGGCAAACTCCAAACTCTGCATCTCCATGTCTGTCAAAATGCTCTTCACATCTCTAACTCCTTTAGGCTTTGTTGACTGCAACACACTTCTTTCTCTTGGGCTAGTTTCACTCCCTGTAAACAGCTTTCATCTGCAGCTCTGTCATTTCCAACATCTTGGAGTCTCCAAGGCAATCAAGGCTTCCCCTTCACAGCTTCATGTGATGGCCTCTCAAAGCCTCCATTCAGGGACACCCCAACACATGCCTGGCCTCAGTGACTTTCCTTAGTTGCTCCTTGACTCTATGGCCAAATCACACGGTTGAAGCTACCAAATTCTGCTGCTTTCTGGGGCTTGGAACATGGCCCCCCTCATTCAAATACAACTTCACCAACTTTCTGTTGTTGATGGTTTTCTTCACTGCCTAAGCTTGGGTGTCCTGGAACTCACTTTGTAGATCAGGCTGCCCTCAAACTCAGAGATCCTCTTGTGTCTACTTCCCAAGTCCTGGGGTTAAAGGTGTGTGCCACTACCACCCAGTTCTAAACTTTGCTTTAATTCCTTTTCACAGATTGGAAGTTTAGCAGGGTGGAGTCTTGTCCAGAGGTCACTAATTCTTTTATTCCACTTAACATAATCTTTTTTGTTTTGTTTTGTTTTGTTTTGTTTTGTTTTGAGACAAGGTTTTTCTGTGTAGCTTTGAAGCCTGTCCTGGAACCCACTCTCAAACTCACAGAGATCCTCTGTCCCTGCCTCCTGAGTGCTGGGATTAAAGGCACGTGCCACCACTGCTCAGCTTCTTGAATCTTCTTATACTTCCTGGAGCTTCTTTTTCACCTCAAACTGTACATTTTGTATTTTTCAATGCTCAGCTTGTTCCTTTTCATTATAGATCTGCATAAATGTGGCCACTAATAGCTAAGCAACACAGTCAATACAGGGCTGTCTGGAAATCTCCTCTACCAAAGCTGCTAACCCATAACTCTTCAATTTAGTCTCAGGCAGACTTTTGTTTGTTTGTTTGCTTTTTTGATAAGGGCAGAAAGCTGCCACATACATTTTTCACCAAAATTTCACAAGAATGATCTCTAGGCCACATATATGTATTCTTCTCCTCTGGAACCTCTTGAGCCAGGCCTCTACAGTTCAAATCACCCTCAGCACCATTGTCTTCCATGTTCCTACTTACTAGCAAGGCCCATTAAGGCCCACTGAAAGCACTCAATTGCTTTCCTAATCCAAAGTCCCAAATTCCACATTCCTCTAAACAAAAGCACAATACCCCAGTCCCTGGTACCAACTTCTGTCTTAGTTAGGGTTTTATTGTTGTGAAGAGACACAATGACCACAGCAATTCTTATAAAGGAAAACATTTAATTGGGGCTGGCTTACAGTTTTAGTCCATTATTGTCATGGCAGGAAACATGGCAGTGTGTAGGCAGGCATGGTGTTGGAGAGGTAGCTGAGACTTCTATCTGGATCAGTAGGCAGCAGAAGGAGAGTGTGACAATGGGCTTGGCTTGAGCATTTGAAACTTCGAAGCCCACCCCCAGTGACACATTTCCTCTAACAAGGACATATCTACTTCAACAAGGCGATATGTCCTAGCCCTTTCAAATAATGCCACTCCTTATGAGCCTATGGGGGCCATTTTCATTCAAACCACCACATACTCTGGCTTCTCTCAGCAGAAGCATCTCTTGGCAGTGGATGCAACAGAAGGGTATGTACTTTTGGGAGTGATGGATGTTCACTGTAGTGTGGGCTTCATGGGTATATACATAGGAAAGAACTTACCAAATTTTACACTTGATGTAAAGTATCTGTTTATGGAGTGCTCTTCACTGAGACAGTCTAGGAAGCATATGCCACTTACATGGTTTTTCTCAGATATGTTGGAGGTGAAAGTACAAGCTCTGATGACTACAGATGAGGCCTCATTACTGCTCCACCCATTCTCAGATATTTACTAAGTTCTCTGCTACTTTCTGTCTGAAACACCAATATTAATCAGACTCACTTTGCTATACTATAGAAAACATATTTGGTCACTACCTAGTTTCTGGCACATAGTTCCAAAACCCTTGGAATCTTCAAAGCAAGAGTGTCTTTCTGCATTCTGAGACAATGGCTGGTGGTTGGGAGAGTCTGAATAATTTCAGGATGGGGTCAAGGAGGAGAGCTAACTGCCAGGGGGAACCAATCATGTGATCAGGTTTGAACTTTCAGCCATACTTCTGACTTTTGTGAAGACAGGAGCTGAGGGTTGAGTTGATCATCAATGGCTGATTATTTAATCAGCCATGCTTACACAATGAAGACTTTATAAAAACCCAAACAGACGTCTTCTTCAGAAGAGCTTCCTGACTACTCAGCACTTGAAGGTGAATGGAGGGTGGTGTGGATATACCCTTCCCGCCTCCTACACTGTCCTATGCATCTCTTGTTGGGCTGTTCATCCATACCCTTTGTAGTATTCTTTACAAGCCAGCAAGTCTAAGTTTCTCCCTGAGTCCTGTGCACCAATCTAGCAAATTAATCAAACCCAAGGAAGGAGTCTCATGAATTCTAATTTTGGGGTAGAAGCACAGGTCACAACCTGAGGCTTCAAAGTGTCATGTGAGGTCTGAGGTGGGAAAGGCTGTGGAACTGAACCCTTGTGGGATCTAAAGCTATCTTCTAGATAGTATGAAAATTCAACCATAGCACACTCGGATGGTATGTGAGAATCTATTAAGTATGTGTGTGTGTGAAGATAGGAAAAACATTGGTTTCTGCTATCTCTCATACCTAGGTACTGTAATAATAAAGCATATAGCCTTGAATTCTTAAAGCCAGACCTGGTAGCACAGGACCACAATACCAGCAACTTGAGAGGCTGAAGCAAGAGGATCACAAGTTCAAGACCTGTCTAAGTAACTCAGTAAGACCCTGTCTCAAAACTAAAAATTAAAAAAGGGCTGTGTCGTAACTTGATGGTAGTGTTTGCCTAGCACACACAGGGTCCGGGGTTTGGCCAGCACCACAGACACACACAAAAAGACTGACTGGAATTTGTAAATCATAAATAATTATTGTTCACATTGGTTTCATTAGGATCCTTACCAGAAGCAAATCCCTCCCAGTGACTACGTGTCAACTGCTCCATACAGCCCACAACCTTGCTCCACACGTTGTCAAAAACATAAGCAAGGACATCCTCTTTCATGCAGTAAAATGGAGCAATGGGAGGGTACCCTAATTTCTGTTTCTCTGTAGCTGCTTCTGATTTGTTTCCATGAAATCCCTCTTCCCTGGAATAGAAGCAAGAGGGAAAGATTTCATGATTATTCTTCCCTGAGCCCCGCCATTGTCCTTTTTACTCAGAAATGTGCATGGTGTGCCCACTCCACCCTCCTCCTCACCCAGCAAATGTAGCACCTGCAGCTGCCTTGGGAAGTAAAGGAGTTCTCAGTAGAAGAGACTGGTTCCTTCTTTTACCCGCACCCTGTCCTAGTGCCCCACAAAAGGAAGGTGGGGACTGAAATAGACTGGAAGTCCTGTGGTTCTTCCGGAGACTCTATGCCTATAACCAGGAACTCCCATGGGGCCAAGCCTATCTGCTTTCTAAGGGAAATACCAATAGCCCGGGGCTGGGGAGAGGGCTAGCTGACAGCATGCTCATTTACCATAGACCAGCGCTTCTCAACCTGTGGCTCCGGCTGCTTATCAGATATTTACATTACGATTCATAACAGTAGCAAAATTAGTTATGAAGTAGCAACAAGATAATTTTTTTGTTGTTTTTCCAAGATGGGGTTTCTCTGTGTAGCTCTGGCTGTCCTGGAACTCACTCTGTAGACCAGGTTGGCTTGAACTCACAGAGATCCTCCTGCCTCTGCCTCCTGAGTGCTGGAATTAAAGTTGGGCCCTCCCCCCCCCTGCCGCAACAAAATAATTTTATGGTTGGGGGTCACCACAACATGAGAAACTGTATTAAAAGGTCACAGCATTTGGGAGGGTTGGGAACCACTGCCATAGACTATTAAGAAGTAGGACAAAGAAAATTCAGGAAGTGACTGAGGAATGGGACAAATATTCCAGGGTCCTACTACAGTGAGACTGCCCTCAGGCAGCAGAGGTCTCCAGAACAAAATAGGCAGGAGGCTCATGCAGGGCAGTCACCTGAGGAGGAACTAGCTTGGCATTAGTAGGGGCTAAGAGGATCAGAGTGACTGGCTGAACTGTATTTACTTTCTTTCATTTTTAAATGTTACTTTGAGGTAGGGTCTTGATATGTAGCCCTGACTGACTAGAACTCACTATGTAGACGAAGCTGGTCTTAATTTTGTTGTGATCTCATTTGCCCCTACCCCAAATGCTGGGACTGTAGGCATGTGCCATCATTTGGTGAAAAACTCAAATTGTGTAGAAGTACTCATAGTGAAAAGGATGTCTCCTACATCTCTGATTCCTGGTCCCCATCATCAGAAACAAATATTCTGTATTGTTCCAGAGAAACAACCACATTCCATGTTATCCTGTACCTCATTCTTTATTGACCAGAGCACCTGGAACTGTCCTATTAGTACATATCAGCCTGTCTCTTAGAGAATAGCTGGAGAATTTCAGCAGGTGTACCACATGTACCCAACCAGGCAGGTTTTTTTGACTGTGGTAGGTATTGTAATTGTTATACAGTGTTTTGTTTCATGGGTGATTACATCTGTAGAACAGATTCCTGTAAATATAATTAGTGAGATAAAGGGCATCTGCTTTGCAATCTGAAAGATAAGGACCACCACCCTCTCAAGAGGTTCTATGGACCAATAGTGAAGAAGACGCTTTCCCGGATTCCCTTAAAGTCCTCTCAGTATGATGGAGACCACAGCATTTCATTCTGGGTTGAATTTGATCTCTCACATAAATGTGGTTGAATTTCAAACATTTAAAATGTTTGTTCTGCTCATATGAACTTTCTGTTCATGTCCTTTTCCTGTTTACTCCTTGGTCTTTTCCTCATTTATGTAATACATTAAACAAATTAATTCTATGAATGTACTACAGATATTTTTTCCTAGTTTTTTTGACGTTGTTTCTTTTTCCTATGCAGAAATGCCATTTAAAATCATCATTTAAGAACTTCTTTTATGACTCATAGATTTCTATTAGGGTTTAAAATGCTTTTGAGGCCTAATGTGGCACACACCTTTAATTCCAGCACTTAAAGGCAGAAGCAAGATCCAGGCCAGCATTGTTTACATATCAAGTTCCAGGCCAGGTTGGGCTATATAGTGAGCCCTTGTCTCAAAAAAAAAAAAAAAAAAAAAAAAAATCTCATTTTTTAAAACTCTCCCATATCTGCTTTCTAAACCTACATGATTTGATCCGTAATATGCAAATTTTTATATGTGAAATTCAAATTTACTTTTCATAGAAAGAATAAGTTAGGAATGTTACTTTTTCCTGGCTTTTCTACTTGTACAAAAGTCATTTGCTTAAGTTATCATATATATGCATTTCCTGCAGGCATTTTCACTTATTTTGTGACCTTCAATATTTTCAGTTAGGAACATTTTTTTCCTGTGGTACTGGAGTTTCCGCCCATGCAGGATCTTCTGCATGCTGGTAAGTGCTCTACCACTGAGTTACAGCCGCCTTTTACCTTTTTATTTTGAAGCAGTGTCTCAATGGGTTGTATAAGCAGGCCTGATCTCACTTTGTAGCCCAGGCTGGATTTGAACTTGTGACTCTCCTTGCCTCAGCCTCCTGAATAACTGTGATTACAGGTCTGTCCAGCAGGCCCAGCTTTAGTTAGGAACATCCTAAAGGCCCAACTACTGTGTCATTTTACAAGAAGATAACTTGGTAGTATCTCTAATACAGCTGCCTTTTGAACTCTTGCCTGTATTACCTGAAAATTCACTTGGGTTTACTCTCATCAGAAAAAGGGAAAGGTGCCCTGGGAGCACACATCAGCCATTTTAACTCAGTTCAGTCAACTTCATTCTTCATAACTTAAGAAGAAGGACCAAAAGGGAGGACCTCTGATTTGAGAAAAAACAAAAGACAGAAGTAGATGACAAGGCGAGGGAAAGAGGAGTCTCTAGAAAATCAAAGCCACATAAAAATTTCCTTACACCACAGAGCTAACTTGGTGATGTTTGACAGAGCAGTCTGATTGTGTGCTGGCTGTAGGGCTGTGTGCACAGGAGTGAACACAAGCGTGAACATGGCAGTAGGAAACACCACAGGAAGAATATGACAGACACAATAACCAGATCTGACCACACAGCCCAACACAACACTCGTACCTCCAGATGTACTGTTATGGCTATGAATTCTGGAACGTTTTTTTCCTAAACTAGGGTACATTCCCATTAATGAGTTTTGTGTGAGTGTGTGCCTGCCACGGTACACATGCAGAGGTTAGAGGGCAACCTTGTGTGTCAATCACTGCCTTCCACCTTGTTTGAGATGGAATTTCTCTTGTTCACTGATATACAACATGCTAAGTGGCCCACCAGCTTCTCTAGATTCTCTTGTCTCTGCTCCTCAACCCCTTGTAGAGATTCTGGAATGACAGAAAACTGTGCTACTACTGCATTTAGCTTATGTGGACTCTAGGGATCTGAATTCCACTTGTTAGGCTTGTGATATAAGCACTTTATCCACAGAGCGACTCCCTTGCCCTATTTGTTTATTTTTAAGACAGGGTCTCACATAACCCAGGCTCGACTTAAACTTTTTCTGTAGCTGAGGGTGGGGATCTCTGATTCTCCTCTCACCACCTCCTGAGTGCTGGGGTTACAAGCAGTAGCCACCATTCCCAGTTAATTCAGTGCTGGGATTTAACCTAGAGTTCTGCCCTTATTAGGAAGACATTCTACCAATTGAGCTATGTCCCCAGAAATTCTAGAACTTTTAAAGACTTAGAAAAATAGTTTATATTTCAGAAAGGTAGCATGCAATATGATGAAATCACTGGGATTTAGAATCAGATAAATAAGGTTTTGGTTTTAAATTTACCTCAGACAAATTACTTGAGCACTCTGATTCTCTCCTATTTTACATCAAGGTAATATCTATTAAATGACTGCTGTCAGAATATAAGTGGATATAAATATATATTGTTAATTGTATAAACTATATGTATCCTTTTCAAGTAAGAATCAAATAGGCATGGTGGCACACACCTTTAATCCTAGCACATGGGAGGCAGGGGCAGGCAGATTTCTGTAAATTCGAGGGCAGTCAAGGCTACATAGTGAGACCCTGTCTCAAAATACCAATAATAACAAAAATAAGGCAATAAAGTTTATTTTAAATAAACAAAGTTTCACATCTCTTCTCTTCAACTAGTCTTTGAAGTTTTAGTTTCCACTGGTGACAATTTGTAAAAAAATAAAATCAAATTCTGTAGAGAAAATGGGTCATTTAAAAATCTCCGCTCTCAGGAAAAGACAAAAACACAAGTGAAGAGGGCAGCTACAGAGGGAAGCCTGGTGTGTGGGAGCAAAGGACATGAGCTCTGCATGTTGGAGATGACAGGACACAGACATCAATTGTTACAAACCAATAGTGCAGTTTCAAAACAGTATATGCTGATACAGAAAACACAGTGAAAATCTTAAAAGACAGTACTCACATATCCGTGTGGTCGAAAGCTAGGTACTCCTCGATTATTCCTTCAGAAAAGATTATACAGTCCACCTCTTCCCCTTCCACAGCAGACAAGCCAGAGGGTTTGATGGAGAGACATGCTTTATGAGCATAAGATGAAAAATGTAACTTCTTTCCCCTTATACCAAATCTTGGAGAGGGAAGAAAAGGCAGTGTTAAAGACACATTAATACAAACAGCTCTTACATGGCAAATAACATAACTTTTGGAACAAACCCTTATTCTAAGTCTTTTTTTTTTTCCCTCCAGTGCTAGGGGATTGCACTCAGTACCTAGGTCAAGCTAGGTAATACTGCCTGGCTCTGATCTGCATTTCTCTTCTGATGGTAACACCTGATGGCCATTCACATACCTTTAGGGAACCAGCTATTCATGTCCTCTGTCCATTTTCAGTTAGGCTGTTTTTGATTTTTGAACTGTAGAAATTCCTTACCTCCTAGACATATTATTAGACATATGATTTGTGAACATTTTATAATGTTGTAAACGTTCTCTCATCCTTTTGGTTATTAGTACACAGGAATCTGGATATTTTTTGCTTCCGCTTATGACATCACATCCTAGAAATCACTGTAAACATTGTGTCCTGGAAGCACCCTGTATTTCTCTGCATTGTTGTTTTATGTATACCATGGTAGGGGCCGGCTTCCTTAACTAGGAGGTGAAATCTAGTTTCCCAATAGCATTGTTCCCAAAAGCATCTGTTGAAATATATATCTAAAATAAATATAGATGGGTGTAGTGGGATATGCTTTTAATCCTAGCACTCAGGAGGCAGAGGCAGGGAATCTCTGTGAGTTTGAGGCCATCCTGGTCTACACAGTGAGTTCCAGGCTAGCCAGGGCTACATAGTTATACCCTGTCTAGACACAACCCTAAAATTAAGAAGAATTACCTCTGCAAACTCAACTTTTCAAATGTTCTTGTTTTTGGCTTGCTTCTGTAGCCTGACACCATCTTCTAACACTTTAACTTCCTGGACTACCATTTTCGCCTACACAATACCATTTGTGTTGAATGACAACCTTGTTTGAAACCACAATCTGAGTTTATATATTAGTCTGCTTTTTTGTGTACTTTTATCATGTAAATATGTTCTCATTTGGATTAAAAAGGAAGGAAGTTGAGGAATGTTAATGGTGTCACAGGCACTGTGCTAGGTCTCAGTCAGACACACAAATAACCACTGAACTGCTTATATGTGGCTTCCTACCAGTCTAAGAGCATGTCCAGAACAGAAAGTGGACCAGCCCCATTTTAATGCATTTATGATATGAAAGACAGCTGACATGGGAGGATTGCTGAACGAGATACAAGAAAGTGACAGATAAAATAGAGCTGTAGGCAGGGCCAGCTTACAATTTTATATTTAATCTTCAAGGCAATGGGAACCTACTGGAAGTTTCTTTTAATGCAATGTGGCAAGTTGATAGGATTTTTGCACAGAGTCTTAGTGGTTGATAGCCCTTATTTTATGGCAACCTGGTATGTTAAACTTTTATTCAGGACACACTTTCCTGATATGTCTTAGAACAAAAAGTGGCAAAATAGCAGTGCCAGCACAGACGTCTCAGGACCAAGGCTTTGCTCTTCTGTGCTGTCACCCCTCACAGGAACCATCACTGCACTAGGAGACTGAAGTGCTCATATCGTAACATACTTACATGGTAGAGTCTCTCTCTTGAGACAAGGTTGAGTCATGTGAAGCTGACACAGCAGAAGGTGATCTAGGGTACAATCCATAGCCTTCACAGGGAGTGATCATCTGCCTACCTAGAATCCTTCCAATGAAGAACAGACAGTGAAGCACCTCCACTTGGCATGTATGCAAAATCTGAGCATGTCACAGATATGATTGATGGCTCTACACATTCAGCCAGATACTAAGAATGACTCTTGAGAGGAAATGTGAATTCTTACTCAGCTATATTCCCCTTTAATAGAATATACAAGGAAAAGATAAAGCTATTGCCGAGTTTAAAGAACAATCCAAGGGAAGTTAGGAATGTGTCTCAGTGATAGAACACTTGCCTAGCTGGACATGGCATTGAGTTCACTGATCAGCATACATGGCACTCCCAGGCTATCCCCAATGAGAGAATGAAGGCCCAGCCAAATTAATGAAAACTATGGGTCATGTTCTTTCCTTTAAAATGATTTACTTAATTATTTAATGTGCATTGGTATTTTGTTTGTGTGTATGCCTTTGTAAGGGTGTTGGATCCCCTAGAACTGGAGTTATAAATAGTTGTGAGCTGCTATATGGGTGCTGGGAATTGAACCCCAGGCTAAGCAGTTAGTACTCTTAATCAGCCAGCCACCTCTCTAGCCCATGAGTCTTTCTTTCTTTTCTTTTTTTTTTCTTTTTTTTGAGACAGAGTTTCTTTGTAGCTTTGGAACCTGTCCTAGAATTTGCTCTGTACAACAGGCTGGCCTCGAACCCACAGAGATCCACCTGCCTCTGCCTCCCAAGTGCTAGAATTAAAGGGTGCACCACCATCCAGCATATAAACAATATTCTTAATAACATTAAACAGAAATTTAAGTACATGCAATAGTGGTACTATTGTGGTTTCTCAGGGAACAGTATGTATGTCCTTTCAAGTACATGAGAATTCTTGTAGACAATGGTATAAACAACATTTTCTGGCCATTTTGTTCAAAAGAAAGGTTTTCTGAAATGCTCTGACACTCAGAAACCAGTTACTGATATAACGATACTTTACTCAGCTTGTGACATGATGGGTCATGTCTGCAATCCCAGGCCCTGGGAGGTGGAGGGTAGGGGAGAATTGGAAGTTCAAGATCATCAGTTCACATGCAAAGTTCAATGCCTGGGGTTGGAGAGACTGCTCAGGTGCTAAAAGCACTTTCTGCTCTTGCAGAGGACCACGCTCAGTTTCCAACATCTACATGGTAGTTCACAACTGTTTGGAGCTCCAGTTCCAGGAGCTCTGGCTTCCATGGATACCAGGTATAGTGCAATACGTATAAATACATGTAGATAAAACACTCACAACATGTAAGAAGAAAAACTTTTTTGAGACAAGATCTCACTAAGTAGCTCTGGCTGTCTTAGAACTCACTATGCAGACAAGGCTGGCCTCAAACTCATAGAGATCCACCTGTCTCTGCCTCTGAGTGCTGGCATTAAAAGTGTGCACTACGAAGCCCAGCCAAAAAAAAAATTTAAAAAAAAAGAAAGTTCAAGGTGAACCAGGGCTATCTAAGACCTCATCTCACACATACACAGGCACATTTTTAAAAGTTTTACTGCTAGCTGGGTGTAGTGACACATTCACCAAGGAGACAGAGGCAGGCAGATAAATGAGTTCAAGGCCAGCCTGATCTACATAGTGAGGCCTTGTTTAAAAAAAAAAAAAAGTGTGCTTAATTAGAATATGTTGAACGTTGGTGATTAGAATAAGTCCAAAAACTTCTACTAACTTGAGTTTTCCTTCAGCTGAGGCTTTATACAACATGGCTTTACATTATTTCATCAAAATATGTCCATTAAAGGAAAGGGGGAAAAAAAAAAACATGCTCAGGCCAGGCCAGGTGGGCTTTTAAATCCCAGCACTCTAGAGACTGAGGCAGCTGGAACTCTGTTGAGTCAAGGCCAGGCTGGTCTACATAGTGAGTTCTTGGCCAGCCAGGGTTTCATGGTGAGACCCTATCTCAAAAAAAAAAAAAAAAAAAAAAAAAAAAAAAAAAAATCCAAAGCTCATAAAGGTTCAGAATTCAAGATTTGAGATGCCCACAGTTTCTACCTCTATCAGTCTCATTGTGTACCTGAGGTGAGGAAAGCTCGACGCCCACTGCTGGCACTCTCTCTGAAGACTCTGTGTGTGCACACTCAGCTTCTGCTCATACAGGAGTTCGTCAATGGCTGTGAACATTGCCTGCACCTTCTCAGTGGCATTCTGGTCAAGTTCCTAGAAACAAACACCACCCCCCAAACATAGATGAGCTATTAAGAATGTATTTTGGTGAACTTCTATACAGTCAGATTAGCTATTCTGGACCTGTGGCATTTTTACATTTGATTTTTACATCTTTACTATCAGATTAATTTTGGTGTCTGACTTTCTTTGGCAAGTTCTTTATAATAAAATTTTCATTTTTAAAAATTTGTACAGTGCTCTGGAAAATGAGCACCAGTGGATAACTCTGAGTTTTCTATCCATTTTAAGCTGTTCTTAATAATGCTATAATAAATGTATTTCAGGCCAGTAAGTTGGCTCAGTGTGTAAAGACACTTGCTGCCAAGCCCACTGACTTGAGTTCAAACACCAGGACTCATGGGTGAAAGAAGAGAATTGGCATCCACAAATTGTTTTTTTTTTTTTTTTAAAGATTTATTCATTTTTGGTTTTTAAAGGCAGGGTTTCTCTGTGTATCCCTGGCTGTCCTGGAACTCTCTTTGTAGACCAGGTTGCCCTAAAACTCATAGAACTTCATTTGCCTCTGCCTCCCGAGTGCAGGGTTTAAAGGTGTGTGCCACTCTGTCCAGCAGATTTATTGATTTTTATGTGGTGTTTTCTGTATGAGGGTGCCAGACACCCCAGAGCTGGAGTTACAGACAGTTGTGAACTGCCATGTGGGTGCTGGGAATTGAACCTGAGTCCTTTGGAAGAGCAGCCAGTGCTCTTAACCACTGAGCCATCTCCCTAGCTCCCCACAAGTTGTCTTCTGACTTCTATATTCATGCCATGGCATTTGTGCCCCCAACATAGACACAGAAACACAAGCGCACGCGCGCGCGCACACACACACACACACACACACACACACACACACACACACAATCAGAGGGAATATTTTAATCTCAGCCACCGAAAAATAAAAATTAAAAACAATCATGGTTTGCTTTGTTTTAAAGAGTTCATTTGAGATACCGTGTTTATATAAAAGGAAAGTTAAATTAGGGAGCTTTCACATCTTAAGGAATTTTCAGATGCTTCTGTTTTTTTTTTTTCTTTTTTAAATAAGGACAACTTACAGAAATACATTTTATTTGTTTGTTTATTATTTGAGACAGGCTTCTCTGTGTAAATGCCCTAGCTGTCCTGGAACTTTATTTGTAAACCAGGCTGGTCTTGAACTCACAGAAACCCACCTGCTTCAGCTTCCCAAGTGTTGGGATTAAAGGTGTGCATCACCACACCTGGCCAGAAATACATTTTTAAGTAATTTAAAAATTAATTCTAGGGCTGGAGAGATGGCTCAGAGGTTAAGAGCACCGACTGCTCTTCCAGAGGTCCTGAGTTCAATTCCCAGCAACCACATGGTGGCTCACAACCATCCGTTATAAGATCTGGTGCCCTCTTCTGGTGTGCAGATATACATGGAAGCAGAATGTTGTATGCATAATAAATAAATAAAATCTTTAAAAAATAAAAAATAAATAAAAATAAAAAAGCTTAACCAGGCGATAGTGGCGCATGCCTTAAAAAAAAAATTAATTCTAGAAATTCACTGTACACTAAGCACGAAAAGGAGAGCAGGTGATGGAAACGTATGCAACTTTCTGAACCTAAAGATACTGATCACAACTCAGGATGATGGACTGTGTACTCAATTCACTGGATGCTCCTGATAAGGCATCGGATTAAGTTACTAGGAATAAAGTTTAATCCACCCCCCTACCTCCCCCCACACACCTACAAGGCTCCACTGACCGAGTTCTGCCCATCTGCCCCTATCATTTGTATTTCCTGCCCAGATCTTGTACCTCTTCTACCCACCCATCTTTTCTTCAGTCCTAAGAATATTTACCTTTGAAATAGGAATTTCTTCTCCGCTTAGTACTCTTCGTTTTAAGACTATCTCTTTATTTACGTGTGTCTGTGCCTGTGCATGCACACAGACCAGGAGTGCAAGGGCATTAGGTTTTCTCTTCCATCACTCTGTACCTGTTCCTGAATCTGGGGCTTGAGCCAGCAAGCCCAGCAATTTTCCTGTCTTCACCCCATCAGAGCTGAGATCACAGGCATTTGAGGGGCACCCGGATCTTTATATGGATGCTAGAATCCAAACTCTGGTCCTGATGATATTAACAACTGAGCCATCTTGCCAGCCCCACTTTTGGGGCTCTTGCATATGCTGCCATTATCTGTCTGAGAAGTTCAGTCCTTCAATCTCAGTCTACTGTACAGATAATGCTACCGTCCCAAGTAAACGCCCTTATAACATCCTGTGTCAGTATCCTGCTAGAGCACTTTGTCACTCTGTACTTTACATCCTTTTGTCAATTTCCTCATTAGACTATTGAACTATGTAAGTCTCACTCCATGTCTACAGCAACAGACAGATATGCTCAAAATATTCCTTGAAGAAAGTAATAAAACCTGAAAATCCAAATATTAAATACAGGGAAGCTCTTAGTATGATAGGTTAACACCAAGACTATTATATATACTATTCTAGTTGACAGATGTGCAGGTAATAATAAACATCACCATTAACAAACTCTGTGAGTTTGAGGCTACGTGGTCTACATAATGAGTCCCAGGACAGCCAAAATCATACAAAAATACCTTATCTCAAAAATCCAATAAATAAGCCAGGTGTTGGTGGCACATGCCTTTAATCCCAGCACTCGGGAGGCAGAGGCAGGCAGATCTCTTTGAGTTCGAGCCCAGCCTGGTCTACAAGAGCTAGTTCCAGGACAGCCTCCAAAGCCACAGAGAAACCCTGTCTGGAAAAACAAAAAAAACAAAAAAACAAAAACAACAACAAAAAAATCCAATAAATAAATAAGGAAACAAGGTGAAAGTGATCAAGAAAAACACCTCATGTTGACACCTCATGGACTGTGTACTCAACTCACTGGATGCTCCTGATAAGGTATCGGATTAAGTTACTAGGAATAAAGTTTAATCCACTCCCCCACCTCCCCCCACACACCTACATGGCCTTCATACATGAGTACAAGGCAACAAGGCAAGCATACTCTTACACATCACACACACACACACACACACACACACACACACACACACACAGAGAGAGAGAGAGAGAGAGAGAGACAGACAGACAGACAGACACAGACACAGAGAGAGAAGACAGTGCAAGGCAACATGGCAAAAACATTCCTACATATCATACTGTACACAGGTATGTTCACAAGTATGCCCTCACATGCCTGAACACACACACACACACACACACACACACACACACACAGTTTGAAGAGTGAAGGAAGGGCATTCCTCAGTTTCAAGAGAGTCTTCTAGAACTTCAGCCGAATGATTAACAGACAACTCACACCATATCCCCAGGAGAAGTCAGAGCTGCCTTCTGTAGAGATCCCCGTGCCTGCATAGCTTGGAAAAGCAGAATGCGAATTCCCGGTGTCGGTTGATGTAAAAGGTGATTCCTGGGTGATGTCAGACTCACTAAATGATTAATTTGAGAGAAAGGGAGAAAAAGAAATTATTCTCATGTTTCCTAGGCACCTTATCAGGTGGTAAATATGTACTCAATATATCTGTAGAGGCAAACATTCAAGCACTGTGGAAAACCTACCGAATCTGTATAAAACTGACAGCAACTGTGCTGAAAACTACTGGTCAGTTCATGATGAATTAGTGTCCACCTGTTACACTGGAGATACTTCACATATGGTAACAGAATGTCTGAACTTGTTTAGTGCCTGTAGTTCCTCAAGTACATTCATTTAACCCTTGCTACTGTAACCTGCTGATCCAGGTCTAATGAACCTCTTTAAAATTCAAGGAATCTCATTTTTATTTCCTGGTTTGAAACAAGATTTTGACTTTACAATTTTTTTTTCTTATGACAGCACATTGTCCTTCAGAAACCTCTTTGAACTGGTCTCTTAACTCTTCCATAGTAACTGCAGTTATTATTTACTTATATTATCTTATAATTATATTATCATATAAGATAACCATTGTATCAAGTTTCACATACTTTATCTGATTTATATTTCAAGAACATATAAGAGATGTTGATGTTTTTTTTTGTTCCCTTGGTCAAACCAACTTAAAGATTTATCAGTTTTACTGACTAATTTCCAAAGAACCAACTTCTGATTGTTGTTTTTCTGTTTCACTATCCATTAACTCATTTGCCCAATGTTACTCAGCTAATAAATGGCAGGAATGGAACTAAAATCAAATCTCCGATCCCTTTTGAATCTAATTACTTAACAACTACATATTACTTCCGGCAGACTGGAGAGATGTCTCTGAAGTTAAGAGTGTATACTGCTTTCCAAGAGGATCCAAGTTCGGTTCTCAGCACCCATGTCAGGGAGCTGTCAGGGGGACCTGACCTTTAACCTCTGCTAGCACCTGCAGTCATTTGTACAAACTCACACATACACATATGTAAATAAAAACTAAACTTCACACTGCTACTTCTGGAACGTTATGAAAGTGTGATATTGTTTCCAATAGCTGTTCCAGAATAAAAATAAATGGTCCTGAGTTGGGAAAATGTACACACACACACACACACACACACACACACACACACACACACACACACGGGCTGACTTTGCAAACCTGAGCTCCAGCAAGCCTCCTGCCTCAGGCTCTGGTAGAGATAAAATTTCTTATTTTGTTTCACTAGCATAGGCGTGGTCCTAATGAATGTCCTTGCCATTAACAAGTGCAATAAGCAAGCAAGCATGTGTTGTGTTGGTACCTTTGAGTACTCGTATCTTTTTCGTGGCTGTCATTGGTAGAGGAAATGTCATCCAGTTGCTCTGGAAGGGGATGATGGTTAAGCGCGTGCTTTGTTCTTCCTTTCCTGTGGAGATAAACAGTCCTCGCTTTATAGTTCATCTGCCCTGAAAAGCCATTGGCTTACAATTATTTATTATTCTCTGTGTGTATGTGCATGTGAAGAGTGAGACCAACTTATGAGAGCTGGTTCTTTCCTTCCACCATATGAGTCCCAGGAACTGAACTCTGTTACCAGTCTCGGTAGCAAGTGCTTTTACATGCTGAGCCACCTTGTCAGCCCCTAGTAAACATACTTATTTTTTTTAAAAGAAAAATTATGTGTATATGTTTGTGCCTGTGTGAGTTTGTGTGTACCTGGTGCACACAAGTTGTTGGATCTCTTGGAACTTGAGTTATAGGCAACTGTGAGCTCCCAGATATGGGTGCTGGGAACTAAACTCAGGTTCTCTGCAAGAACAGTAAGTACTCTAACTTCTGAGCCATGTCTCCAGCTCCCCCAATATACTTTTTAAAAATGTCCACCATTAAGCTGGGAGTTGGTGGAATCCGAGCACTTGGGAGGCAGAGGCAGGCGGATCTCTGTGAGTTTGAGACCAGCCTGGTCTACAAGAGCTAGTTTCAGGAAAGCCTCCAAAGCCACAGAGAAACCCTGTCTCAAAAAAAAAACAAAAAACAAAACAAAACAAATTAAAAAAAACCAAAAAAATGTCCACCATTAGAGAGAGAAAATTAAAGTGCACATTCTACCGAATCTTAGCTTTATGTACAAATATAGTACAATTCACTAAAATCTCCAACTATTGATTTCCTCTGAAAAGCCTTAGAGCCGGACTACTTAGAATTGAACGTTGACTTCATCACTTACTAGTCATATTATCACAAGCAGTTTTTTTTTCCTGGAACTAGCTCTTGTAGACCAGGCTGGTCTCAAACTCATAGAGATCCGCCTGCCTCTGCCTCCCGAGTGCTGGGATTAAAGGTGTGCGCCACCACCGCCCAGCCACAAGCAGTTTTTAATCCCATGCTTTAAGTGAAACACATGTACTCGGGATTTATGAAGTGCATTTGCACATTAAAGGCCCTGGGAAGAGTCCCTGTAAAGAAACTTGTAGAATCCCATCCAACGTATGTCTTGTGAATGTACTTGACTAGAGAATTTTGTGGGGGAAATGATGCCTACTGTAGATAATTAGTTCTGGAAGACATAATAGCTGACATAGTCTATTTACCTCAGTGGAGAGTCCAGCAGAATATAGATTCTAGAGCAGCAGTGTCCAATGGAAATATGACAAAAACCACTGAAAATGTCAGTTTACATTTTCAGGTGGTCACATTAAAAAAAAAAAAAAGCAAGCCATCACACCTGGCTTATATATTTATGTTTTGAATTTTTCATTTAAAGATGGCAAACCGGGGCTGGAGAGATGGCTCAGAGGTTAAGAGCACTGCTCTTCCAGAGGTCCTGAGTTCAATTCCCAGCAACCACATGGTAGCTCACATCCATCCGTTATGAGATCTGATGCCTTCTTCTGGTGTGCAGATATACATGGAAGCAGAATGTTGTATACATAATAAATAAATAAAATCTTAAAAAAATAATAGATGGCAAACCGATGAGCCGGGCATTGGTGGCGCACGCCTTTAATCCCAGTACTTGGGAGGCAGAGGCAGGCAGATCTCTGTGAGTTCGAGGCCAGCCTGGTCTCCAGAGCGAGGGCCAGGATAGGCTCCAAAGCTACACAGAGAAACCCTGTCTCGAAACAAAACAAAACAAAACAAAACAAAAAACACACAAAAAACAAAAAAAATTAAAAGCAGATTTTAAGTCAAACCCTTCTCTTTTTGTGGAAATGACTGCTGTTTAGTCTTATTCTCTAACGGGGTTATTGCCTAATTTGCTGTTGTGTAGATAACATATTCCTTAGTAGATAGCATGCTGATGAAAAGCAAGGAGAGTTCTTTTCTTTGTATGGCTCTTGCACCAAGTCAAAGTGAGAAGAGGCAAGGAGAGTATTTCCACTCTTTGAGGACCTACTGTTGGGGGCCATACGAGGGGACCAACAGGATCGTTGGAACTCATGGAACACGGCTGGGCGGTTGACAAGCCATGCCTGAGTGAGACTTGGAGAGGCAGACCCAAGGACTACATGTCCTGAGGACCTCATGTTGTTTCTGAGCATGGCTCTGATTGTTGCCTTCATGGTCACCACATCCCTCATAATCTTTGGGTTGTATGAAAACTTTCAGGATGTTTCTAGCCCCTCACTGTTACTGGGCAGTGTTACTGGTACTTAAAATAATAGTGATTGACTTTTTCCAAGCATTGCTGCTGGAGCAGATTGATAATTCAACCACCACCCTCAGAGACAATTTAGACATGCAGAATTGTTAATAAGGTTATGTTAAAATGTTTTTGTTAATGGCCTTAACGTAGAAAATCTTGGGGAACAATTTAGTTTATAAAGACACACTTTTGATAGTTGAACCTCATTGAGGTCAGGAACAGGTACAATGGCAGCCTGGATAGTGCTGGCTGATGTACCTTTCTTGCTAGGATGGGTTGGTGATCAAGAGTGATGATTAATTCCTTGTACCCATTTCTGCCCCCTGTCTCCTGATATAAAAGTCTGCTGATGAGTGGGTGTGCACCCTCAGAATTTAAAGTAGAGCTGACTGATTGCTTTTCATATATAAAAGTTTAGATTTGCAATTATTTTAAGCTTTTTTTTATAAGATTACCTTTTGAGATAAACAACAAAGTGATCGATCCTTTCTTTGTAACCACAAAATGAAGCCTGCCAGCAAAACAACTGGCTGAGAAAAATACCGTGCTTGCTTATACTCTGTTAATCTATAACAAGTTGCTTGGGTATGAATGTATGTGGGTTCTTGGGACAACTTGTTTTTTACCTGTAATATGTAAAATATTTAATCATGTAAGGGATATGAAAAACATATTACTTTTCACTTGTATTCATTGTAATCATTCACTTAAAAAATAAACTGTAACCACATTGTAATTTTTATACTACTTGAAAGAATTTCTCTGGGGAATATAAGCTATAAGGGAAAATATAAAGTTAGTTAGAAGAAAAAATTTAAGAACAGACAGAAGAGAAATATCAGGGTAGAAGAACAGAACAGAAAGAGAATAAAGTAGGATAGCAACAATAAAAACAATAAAATGAGCCGGGCGTTGGCGGTGCACACCCTTAATGCCAGCACTCGGAAGGCAGATGTAGGCGGATCTCTGTGAGTTCGAGGCCAGCCTGGTCTCCAGAGCGAGTGCCAGGATAGGCTCCAAAGCTACACAGAGAAACCCTGTCTCGAAAAACCAAAATAATAATAATAATAATAATAATAATAATAATAATAAATAAAATGAAGAACTAAGCTTTAGCCCTCAGAAAAGTCCTCCTGTGTCTGTCTGTCCAGTAGTTTGCCTGCTCTGTATCTCCTTTCCAGTTTCTCTGACCTGCTGAAAGCTTGTCATTCAGCAGCACCCTAGGTGAGACTCCGACATGTTGGAGACTCTTGGTGTGTGTGTGTGTGTGTGTGTGTGTGTGTGTGTGGTGTGTGTTTCCCTTTTTTGTGGGCCCCAGAGAGTTGAGTTTTGTCTACCTTGCTGGCTCCAGAGAATTAAGTTTTACTCCTTCAGATAGAAAAGTCAGTGAGTGATTAGTCTGCCAACTCTGTGGATTCCTCTCAATCCCTGAAGCTGCCAGCCCTATGCCATCATTTTAGGTATGCTTGTACATATAGACAGGAAGGCTGAGATTTAGTAATCTGCCAAAAAGCTACATAGCAAGAAAAGTGTCCATCCAAAATCTCAGTGTGATCTTAAATGAATGTTATTAGCATGCATAGCTACAATTTAGTAAGTGTATGGCTGCTGAAATTAGTTTAGTGATGGGGAACAACTGGGCTTGGCTTTTTAAAAGTTCAGACTCTAACGGCTTAAGATGTGGAACCTTACTAATTTCATCTGAGAAATAGAAGCTAGCTAGTTATAGCCATCTTTCAGAATTGTTGAAAGGAAAAAAACAAAAAACCCTGAAGGTTCTTTTGAAATTACAACATGCCAGTAAATGTAAGGCATTATCATTACCTGCCAGGTTACAACACTTAACTAAGGGTACAAAGCGGGTCTTTTGGCTACAAGTGTTTGCTTTTTAGTCCACAAACAAAACTGATTATTTGCCGGGGGTGTGAAGGCATTGTATGTGTAAAGTCCTGACAACAGGCTTTGGAGCCGGATTGACACTTGGTTTGTAATTCTCAGTTAAACCATCTATCTTCTAGATAACAACCTTTAGACCTGTGATCTTTATCTGTAGGATGTGCAAAGTCGGTCTCCTGGTTTTGCTAATGCATTCAAGCAAACAGCTTTGCATAGTGTTTGGAACTAGACACGTTCAACTTTATTGTAGCATTCAGCTATTGTCTTCAGTGGGGCCAGAAGCACTGAGAAAACAGTAAGGGCTTCTGGAGATCCACTTTCTCAATTCATGTAGTAACAGCCCAAAGGACAGTCTTAGGATAGCATGGATGGCACACTCTCAGCTGGTGACCCAAGAACAAGAGGCAGCTTCCACCAGGGCTGGGAGGAGAGAATTAGGCATTCTATTTTCTCTCCCGAGCCCTGGGAGAGGAAAGGAGAGACTAGTCAAGGAGGGTCTATAGAGCTCCCGCGGCCCCGGCTGGGCGAGCAGAGCAATTCACTCACAGCTCCACACACTGTGGCACGGCCTTCCGAGTGTATCTGGAGATCATCCTCCGTTTTCTCCTCCGCGGCCGGGGCGGGCTAGCCAGGGCGGGGGCCTCGGGGCCTGGCCCTTCCGCCGGCTCCGGCCCGGCCCCCTCCTGCCACCTACCGGCCCCGTCTCGCCCCGTCTCGCCCCGTCGCCTTGATTCCGGACCTCTACCTCCCAGAGTTCCCACTCTATAGCCTTCCGACCTGCCTCCTTCCTCTCATGAAAGGAAGTGACGGAGGAATACAGCTTCGTTTAGAAACTGTCTCCGATGCGCATTAGCGACTACATCCAAGGTTCCGTAGACTCACGGATTCCAGGCATCCAGGCGTCCAGGAGCGAGTCGTGGTCATAGCAGAGAGGACCAGCGTGGGCTGGGCTTGAGCGGTTGATGGAATCTTCTGACCAAGAATCCTAGTGGAAGAGGCGGCCAAGGAAAGGTGCCAGAGCAGAGACGCACGAGAGAGGGCCTATAACCGCGAAAGGAATTGCTTAACCTTTTGTCAGTGGACGATGGGAGTCTAGTTTGATGAAAGAGTACTAGACCGCGCCAGGCCCGTTGCTGCTTTGTGTGCTCTCAGGTTTGTCATTTGTATTATGAATCCTTAACCCGAATGATCTCAACTTCAGTTCTGACCCCGGAAATGCTGCACAAGGAGTTCTGCTTGGGCTGGAAGGTGGGGGCTGGGGCTGGGTGGGTAGAATGCATACCTGACTCTCCGGGTTGAAAGGCAGCGTGGTTCTAATTTGCAGTGGTGTGTGGGTAGTTGCATGGAAGATGCAGGTTCCCCATTGTTCCTTTGCAAAGCCAAGTAAGCTTAAAACTCAAATCGCAGCGTTAGGTGGGCATCCGGAACCATGGCAAATTATTATGGGACGAAATGGTAACACCCAGATTTTTGCACTTTTAAGTCTTCTGTAGACTTAAATTCTATAACGCAAGGAACATTGCTGTTTTGTTTGTTTGTTTTGTTTTTAGAGACAGGGTTTCTGTGTAGTCCTGGCTGTCCTGGAACTAAGCTCTATAGACCAGGCTGGCCTCGAATTCACAGAAATCCACCTGCTGCTGCCTCCCAAGCTTACGCCTCCACCGTCCGGCGAAACATTGCCTTTTAACGTATTTGATAACACAGTTTTAAAGTAACAAGGTGTTTTAGAGATGGAGTGTAACAATTAACGAGAAAACTCAGGAAAGAAAAGTGCCCAAAGTATCAATAGAAGCACAATTGGAAGTTTTGAGAGAAAATAGTAGATTAATGTAATGTTTTCAAACTGTGCTACACACACTGATATTAATTTAAGGGCAAAATACTTCATTTGTTTGTGAGACAGGGCCTTGATATGTTTCCCAGGCTAGCCTTGAACTCCTGGACCCAAGTGATCCTCTTGCCTTAGTTTCTTGGCTGAGACCATAGGCACACCCATTGCCACTTAGCCATTTTTAATTTTTATTCTTCCATACTTATTTGGTACTTGAAAAGTGTGTTGTTGGATCTCCATTCACTCTATAATATCAAGGTTCCCATTTAACATAATTTAAGTATAAGGAACATGTTTTTAAGTATAAATGTCATTCAGATAGTAATAAGTCAAGTGGTGTCTGATGATAATGGTAGGTGGGTGGGTTTCAAAGTTTTGGGAAATAATGCAGCCACCTACAAGAGTTTTTTGGAATGCTGTTAATTTCTTCTCCTATGTGGCTTATGTCAGTGAAACTTTGAATGTCATTTTCAAAGAATGGAGGGCAATATGAAGCTTGCAATGGTAGAAGATGCTGTGGAGTACCACCTGTTCCTGATACCAGATAAAGCAAGAGACACAGATGAACCCAAAGAGATTCTTCAGAAGTACATTGAAAGAATAATGACCCAGTTTGCACCTATACTGGTTCCTTATATCTGGCAGAATCAGCCTTTCAATCTCAAATATAAACCTGCAAAAGGTAAAGTAACCATTTATTAGTGTTGTCTAAGAGAGAGTTACACCCACAACCTTTAAAAGCAGTGCTGTTTGCCCATATCAATTTAAGCCCCTAAAGTTAAATATATACCATATAGATCAGAATGTGGGGATCATGGTTTCTGCACTTTAATTGCAATGCTGTGCTGCACAGGTCCAGGCTTACCCTGTTTCTTCAATCATGGTTCCTTTTTACTACTCAGGACTTACCTTGATGTCTTTTGTGGGTTTCTTTGGTTTTTTTTATTTATTTTTATTTTTTTTTTCCCCCAGACAGGGTTTCTCTGTGGCTTTGGAGGCTGTCCTGGAACTAGCTCTTGTAGACCAGGCTGGTCTCGAACTCACAGAGATCCACCTGCCTCTGCCTCCCGAGTACTGGGATTAAAGGCGTGCACCACCAACACCCGGCGGGTTTCTTTGTTTTATGTAGTTGCTTTGCTGAGAATCAAAGAGTGACTTTATCTGTCTAATAAAGATAACAAAATGGATTCTGTCACTATCAATTGTCATCCAGAAGCATTTTGAATGTCGTTTACTGCTTACATGTGTCTTCAGTGATTTCAGTTAATTCTAGCAAAATATAGTAAGCTGTTCTGTGATTTCTTCTGACTTTATGAAAATGATTAATAGATAGCTGGCCCAGTTGGTATTTACACAGTGACTTATGTAGGGCCTATTTAGGATAAGGAGCCTGGTATCTTTTGCTCCTGCCATTCTGGCTCATAGTTAGTGCTAATCTGTTATATTTGGCTAGTAACGGCTAAGTTTCTCCTTTGCTATTAATTTCGCTGAACTTTTTACAGCACTGGGCATTGAACCTGGGGCCTTGTGCATTGCTAAGCAACTGATCTACTAATGAGCTACTTCTCAAACTCTAATTTTATTGAACTCTTACGTATTTTCTAGAATACGTATGATGTTTATCGACAAGGAGGCTAGCAAATTAGTATGCCACATCTAAAACCAACCCTTTAGCTGTGAGCTTAACACTCTGAAGGCTAAGGCAGAGGAATCACCAGTTTGAGACCATCCCCAGGCCAGAGTGAGACCCAGTTTCTAGTAACTTTTAGAAAACCATGTTTACTCTGTATTCTTTCACTTATCTAATGGCATTGCTGACTAGTTGACCAAGCTACTAGTTCAAATCATACTCGTCACTGCTATCTTCAGTCTAGTATGAGTACTGCCAGAATATCCCTTTCCACATCTGTTTGATCGCCGGGTGGCTGCTCTTTATTCTTTCATCTGGGAAACAACAGTCCCCAGCTTACCTCTCCAGTTCCAGTCTCTGGAGCTCCTCACACTATTGGCAGTACCTTCGTGGAACACAAATTGGTCACCTCCTGGCTTAACCTCCTTCATGTTCCTGTTGCTGCAGGGGGAGGTTTCAGTTGAAGCCTGATATGCAATGTAAATAAAAATCATACTCTAATCTAATCATGATAATAATATAAATAATGAAAAGTAATAAAATAAAAATCATAGTGCTCTAATCTAACTGGAGAGATTCGGGTGGTTTGGACTGAGCAGAAGAGTTGAGCAGGCTGCTCACCTCACTTGTTTTTTGGCTGTGATTGCTCTGGTAGACCCTGGGTTGCGTTTGTTTGACCTTCATTCTGTTGATGTGGTACATTTCATTGATTGATTTCTTAAATTCTTGTTTATTTTATGTGTATGGGTGTTTGATGCATGTAAATTTGTGCATCGTGTTCATGTAGTGCCCTCAGAGGGCACTACAGATCCCTTGGAACTGGAGGTACACAGGATTTTGAGCCACCACGTGAATATTAGAAATTGTACCCGGGTCCTCTAGAAAAGCAGCCAGAGCTCTTAACCACTGAGCCATCTCTCCAGCCCCATATTGACTGATTTTTTTTTTTTTTTTGGTATGTTGAATCATCTTTGTAGTCTAAGAAAAAAAAAATTGGATTGTAGTATTATAACCCTTTCAATGTGTTGTTGAATTTGGTTAGTCAGCTTTTCATTGTCATGACAGAAATACCTGAGAAAAATCAATGTAAGAGGATTTATTTTAGCTTATGGTTTCAGACTGATCACTTGGCTGTGCTATGTAACTCAGCCTGGCCTCAAACTCTTGATCCTCCTGCCTCAGCCTCCACAGTGCTAGAATTACAGCTATTAGAGGCTTTTGATTACTAATTGAATATCCCTTCTAGTTATAGGTCTGATAGTATTTTCTACTTCTTCATGAATGAGTCAAGACCTTCATTTATCCATTTCTCATAGGTTCCCCAATTTCTTGGTGTAAGGCATTCATAGATTCCCTTATAATCTTTTATATTCTGTAGAAAGAGTATACTGTTCCTGCTCTCAGACCTGATTTTAGTCATCTCTTCCTACTATTTCATCTTTTTAATGGTCTGTCAATTTTGTCAACCTCTCCCCCATTTAAAAAACAAAACAAAAAACCCTGTTTGCTTCATTTATGTCTGCTGTAATTTTCTTGCTAGATTTATGCTTTGTTTCTTGGTTTTTTTTTTTCTTTCTAAAAGTGTAAAGTTAGAGTGCTGACTTGAGATTTTAAATAACTGTAATCTGCTGCTGTCACTATTTTTTGCTAAATTTTATGAGTTGTCATATGTAGTGCTTTCATTTTCATTTCTTCCAAAATATTTTTTCACTTTTCCTGTGATTTTCTTTTGATTCTTGGTTGTGTAAGAATGTGATATTTAGCTTCTGTATACTTAACGGATCATATAGTTATTTGAAATGTTCTTCTATTCTAAAAGCAGAGTCCTTATATCCCCACAACACCCCCTTTCTACTATAACTCTGTGCCTTTGACTGTGCTGTTCCTTCTTTCTGGAAGGTCCAGCTCCGGTCATTCTGCAGCTGTCACTGCTCCAGACAGTGAAGCTTTATGCTCACACAACTTTTAGTGTGCTTTTAAAGACAGTTTGGTTATCTGTTCCTTGTTTTAGACCCAAACTCCTAAAAAATACACATTCCATGTTTTATTCAGAGTTGCAACCCCAGAATAATTATTGGAACTTAGTGACTAGTTATTGAATGCTTACATGTATTTTTCCTTGCAGTGTCAGACTTGCCTGGTTTATGATCGTTTCTCTCTTGTTTATAGGAGGTGTTCCTGCTCATATGTATGGCATGACAAAGTTTGGAGATAACATTGAGGATGAATGGTTTATTGTTTATGTAATAAAGCAGATTACAAAGGCATTTCCAGAGTTAGTAGCAAGGTAAAGGAATTCTCATTTTAAAGCATAAGTGATTATATTTGTGTCCCTTCAGTAATTTTTTTCTGAGGTCTGATAGAACACACACACACACACACACACACACACACACACACACACACACACACACATTAAAGACTGTCTCATTGTATAGTCTGGATGGTCTGGAACTTGATACATAGACCAGACTAAACTTGAACTTACAGAGATCCACCTACCTTTGCCCACTAAGTGCTAGCATTAAAGATATGCACCACCAAGTCAGAATACATGTAAGTATTTTTTTTTTTAACTCACATTAAAAGTTTGTGATGATAGCTTCTGGGAAACCACCAACACAGCATCTTTATGCTGTTTTAAATTTTATTTGTCACAAGTATCTATTCTCTTATTAGAAATCTGTGAAGTACATATTACATAGGGCTGTGTGTCTGCAGATCTTTCATACTGTCAGGCCAAGTGTGTGGAAGATCAATGGGACTGGCAGCATATGAGACTCAGGCTAAGAATATCTACCCAAAGATTCTTGATTTTTTTTTTTAATTCAAATCCTTATACTCCAATAACTCAGAACAGAGTAAATATACAGAAAAGATTAAAAATGAAAATCAGGGTGTGGTTAAAGTGGAACCACATGACGGTGTTACTCAAAAATTAAAAATAGATGAGACCAGGGACTGGAGAGATGGCTCAGGGGTTAAGAGCACTGACTGTTCTTCCAGAGGTCCTGAGTTCAATTCCCAGCAATCACATGGTGCCTCACAACCATCTGTAATGGGATCTGGAACCCTCTTTTGGCATGCACTGTATACATGATAAATAAATAAATCTTTTAAAAAAATAAATGAGACCAAAAATATCTCTGTAGATCTAAATAACACTTTGTTATATGAAGGCCCTCTTAATTTCACCTACAAGTGGTTATTTCCCCCCCACTTCTTTTGGAACTTTATAGTACCTATGTGTTTCCATATTTTTGTCTAATACAATACTTTGATTTTCTCTTTTTAATCTCTCTCTACATTTTCTTACAATCTTATAGTTTCCTATAGGCTTTTGCTATATTTTTAAAGATACGTTTTTATTGTTTTTAATTATGTTTATGTGTGTGTGTTTCTTTGGGTTTGTGCACATGAGTGCAGGTATTGGTGGGAGCCAGGTCATTAGATGCCCTAGAGCTGGATTTACAGGCATTTGTGAACTGACTAATTAATACAGGTGCTGCAGACCAAACCTGTGTCCTCTGCAAGAGCAGGGTATCTTAACTGCTGAGCATTTCCCAGCCCTGCTTTACTGCATTTTAAATTTTACCCTGCTTTTGTTTTGTTTTTTTTTTTTCTCTTGCAATCTCAAGTACTCAAGTATTTTCTGAAAAGAAGGGAAAATGTCTTTGATCAAAGCTGTCTTGTGCTCTGTGGATGTGAAAAGGGGTCTTTTCTCTCGTTAGGATCGAAGACAATGATGGCGAGTTCTTGTTAATAGAAGCTGCTGACTTTCTCCCTAAGTGGTTGGATCCTGATAATAGTGCCAATAGGGTAAGTACACCCAGGCTGGAGAATACAGGGTTGGAATCATGCCACATTATTTCCTGTGTCCCTGGAGCTTCCCAGAGCCCGCAAAGAGACTAAGATGTGCCATTTTGCAGGTATTTTTTCATCATGGGGAGCTGTGTATTATTCCTGTGCCAAGGAAATCTGAAAGAATACCCTGGCTGCCCACTACACCCCCAACAATCCAACAGGCTTTGGATATCATCTCAGCACACCCAGAAGCTGTGTTAGCTTCAGAACCTATACAGGCTGCTGTGGACAGGCGCATCAGAGGGTAAGAAAGAGGACTCTGATACTGTAGGCTGAGGAACATTTGGTTCAGACATCGTAAGTTTTAATTTGCATCTAGAATGCCTTCCACCTAGAATAACACTCATTTGCATTTTATTGGAGTCTCTGTTCATGAAATTGGCAGTTAAATTTATGGAATTTAAATTAAGAAATCAGTTCAATTGGTTGATTGACTGAGATAGGATTGCCCAGGCTAGCTTTGGACCGCAAGGCTCAAGTTAACCTCTTCCCTCAACCTCCTTAGTAGCTGTGATTCTAGGTGTGCATCACTGTGCCTGACTTAGATGTAATTTTTCTTCCCATTTCAAAAGTATCTTGTCAGCCAGGCAGTGGTGGCGCACGCCTTTAATCCCAGCCCTCAGGAAGCAGAGGCAGGTGGATCTCCATGAGTTCCAGGACAGCCACCATGGTTATACAGAGAAACCCTCTCACAAAACAAACAAACAAAAAATTGAGATCAGGGCTGGAGAGATGGCTTCATGGTTAAATATAACAGCTGCTCTTCTTGAAGAGCTGGATTCAATTTCCAGCCCCCATATGGCCACTCATAACAGTCTGTAACTCTCCTCCCAGGGAATTCAACACCCTCTTTTGGCCTCAGTGGGCACTGGGCACGCGTGCGGTGCACAGACATACAGCTAGCAAAACATTCATACACATAAAATAATAAATTTTTAAAAATAAAATCAAAATTGAGATTTTTTAAAGATGAAAACCTAAAGAAGGGAATGCAATATATTTGGCCTTTTATTGTTTTGTGCTTCTGGAGCTTCTATATGGTCCTTTGACCTATGTGGAACCCTTCAGCTTCTGTATAGTCTGTGGAACTCTTTAACTTCTGTATAGTCTGTGGAACTCTTTAGCTCCTATATGGTCCTTTGACCTATGTGGAACCCTTTAGATTTCATTTCAAAGAGAAGACAAGTTCCAATAGCACTTTAGTTTAACGTATTGTCTTAATGACACTAAAATTCTTTTTAAGTTGGGCATGCTAGTTCACATCTAGTACCCTGGAGGCAGAAATAGAGGATCTCTGTGAGTTCCAGGACAGCCAGGAGTACGCAGTGAGACCCTGCAAAAAATATTAATATTTGCATTCAAAGTAAAAGCATTATGCTACCTGTCACAGGTACCCAGAAAAAATTGAAGCTTCTCTTCATCGAGCACACTGCTTCCTTCCAGCTGGCATTGTGGCAGTACTCAAACAACGACCCAGACTAGTGTCTGCAGCAGTCCAGGCCTTCTACTTACGGGACCCCATTGACCTGAGGGCCTGTCGAGTTTTCAAGACATTTTTGCCTGAAACACGAATAATGGCATCTGTGAGATAACTTTCTTGGTCATTTAGTTTTTCTTATAATTTTAATAGTTCTCTTAGAAAATTAATGCACATTTCTGTCTTTTTCTCTCTCTTTTTTTTTAACCCAAGCCTGTATGTGTGTAGGTGGGGGCAGGGTCAAGAGACTCCTAATTTTGTGATTTAGTATGATTAGTACTTTTGACACATTTTCAGAAATACAGAGGTATTTCTGTAATTACCTCCTTAACAATAAAACATTTCATCCCTTAAGGCTTACTGTCTTAATACCCCTCCCAAATTGCCGTAGTGTGATTAGTGGTAATTACAGTAGTGACAGCTGAGAGGTGGGCAGTAGGGTAAATTTCACAGTTTGTGAATGTTTATCTCACTAGCTGTGTCTGAAAACACACAGGAAGTGAACAGGCTGTACCTTCTCTGCACTTCACCTCTGGGTATATGAACTAAAGCACATCAGTGGACTGACTGTTAGATCCAACTGTGAAATGATATTCAAAACTCAACTTCAAGAACAGACTCACATATTTTGTATCCCAATGCCCAGGTCACTTTTACCAAATGTCTGTACGCGCAGCTGCTACAACAGAAGTTTGTGCCAGACAGGCGGAGTGGATATGGGCTGCCACCTCCATCACATCCCCAGTTCCGAGCCCATGAATTGGGCATGAAGTTGGTAATGTTGACCAAGAAAACTGCCTAACTTACCTCCCCTCCATCCTTCCCTCTCTCCCTACTTCCTCTCCTCCCGCCCCCCACCCCCTCCTCCCTTTCCCCCTTACTTTCTTTCTCTAATATGAAAGGGCTTTAAGGACTGGAGAAATGGCTCAGTGGCTAGAAGTGCATATTGCCCTTGCAGAGGACCCAAGTTTGATTGCCAGCATCTATATCTGGTGACTCACAACAGCCTGTAATTCCAGAACCAGTGAGTTCCCAGGCTTCAGGCCTCTGTGAGTACCTGCATTCATATGGATGTACCCATCTACACACATACAAATAATAAGTAATTTTTAAAAAGACTACACATAGAAAGACACTCTTGACTTGATAAAGATATAAATCGATTCAATCCTTATAGGAAATCATTTCCCACTATTTATCAACACTTAAATTGTACCAAACATTTTGCCTGCCATTTTCACCTGAGTTAATGAATGGCACAGCATAGGAACTCTAGAAATAAGCCCTGCTTATGTGAGAATGTAGTAAAATTCATCAATTCAGATCAGAGCGTCAGGAGAATTACTCAGTAAATACTGATCCAATAGCTGTGAAGCCTTCTGAGAATAAAAGGTCAATTCCTTCACACTTAGGACAGAATAAATTCCACTGGGATTAAATAATTTAATGTAAAAATGGAAACTGTAAAAATTAGAAAATATAGAAAATTATCTGACTAGGAAAGGCCTTTTCAAGCATGGCTTGCAACCATAGGCAATAAAAGATTGATATAATTTGATGATGTAAAGGTTTCTAGCCAAGTGCAGTGTGCATCTGTGGTCCCTTTAGAGTCCAGCAGCCAGAATGCAGCCTGGGTGACAGGTAGCAACACTGTCACAAACACCAATGTAGCAGTAGATGGAAGAAGAGAAATTCTGCTTGGAAAAGAAAAATGTCATGAACTCAAAAGATACCAGAAAATCTGGAGAAGGAGTATTAGGTGTTCCTATAGAAAAGAATGCTTGGGCTGGAGAGATGGCTCAGTGGTTAAGAGCACTGGCTGTTTTTCCAGAGGTCCTGAGTTCAATTCCCAGCAACCACATGGTAGCTTACAACCATCTGTAATGTAATCTGATGTCCTTTTCTGGCATGCAGACATACATGCTGACAGAACACTCATACCTCAAAAAATGCGTAATAAATAAAATCTTAAAAAAAGAAAAAAAAATGGGGCTGGAGAGATGGCTCAGTGGTTAAGAGCACTGACTGTTCTTCCAGAGGTCCTGAGTTCAATTCCCAGCAACCACATGGTGGCTCACAACCATCCGTTATAAGATCTGGTGCCCTCTTCTGGTGTTCAGATATACATGGAAGCAGAATGTTGTATACAAATAAACAAATAAGATCTTTAAAAAAAAAAAGCTAACTGATTAATTTTAAATGTTCAGAAGCTGAACAGATAGTTCACAGAGAAGGAAGTACAAATGAATTTTAATTTAAACATGAAAAAGCATTGACCTCTCTACTTAAAAATTAATATAATTTAAAGCCACAAAATAGTTTTTCACTACTAGATTGGCAAATATAAAAAAGTATGGGAACATATACTGAGCTGGTAAGCATTTATAGGATATATAAAGGAAAAGGGTACTCTAACATGTGGATAGAAATAAAAATTTAGCTGGGTGTGGTGGCGCACACTTTTAATCCCAGCTCTTGGGCGGGAGAGACAGACCTCTGAATTCTAGGACAGCCTAGCCTGTGTAGTGAGTTCCAGGACAGCCAGGGCTACATAGTGAAATCCTGTCTCAAACACACACACACACACACACACACACACACACACACACACACACACACAGAGAGAGAGAGAGAGAGAGAGAGAGAGAGAGAGAGAGTCTTAAGTTGATTCATTCCCTGTGAAAACCAGTTTCCACTATCCATCAACACTGAAATTGCATTGACCATTTTGCTTATCATTTGCACTTCTAGAAATGTGTTTCCAGGTTTCAAAACCACTAGACTTCTACTCAGGAAACATCATTTGTAATAGTGAAAACTTAGAAAACACCTAAGTGCATGGAAGAATAGATAAATTACGCCATGTTTGTGAAGTGAAGTTGACAAATTGATGTGTGCCGGTAGGAAATTCTCTCCTTATCATGCAGTTACGTGCAGTAGAGTGTGTGCTGCTGTTGGGGTGATGAGAGGGTAGAGAAGGATGGCACCAGTATTTACTTGAGTGCACAGATTACTTCTTAAGGGAGGTGCCGGACTTAGGTAATGACTTTGAATTATTGTGCCATATTATTATCATTTTTTACCAAAGGATCTTAAAACAAAATCATTCTGTTCTTTCCTGTGTCTGAGAATATGCTCAACTTACTTTCACATTGTTGTTACATTTTCATTGATCTATTTCGTGTGCATGGCAGGGTTGGGGGGAGCCTGCCATGGTGCACAGTGGGGGTCAGAAGATAACTTTTGCGTTGGTTCTCTTCTACCATGTGGGTTTCAGAGATTGAACACAAGCCATCAGGCTTGGTGGCAAGCCCCTTTATCCACTGAGCCATCTTGCCAGCTCAGAAACAAATTCTACTTTTCGTATAATTTAAAAGGTGTTCTAAGTGAAGCTGGGTATGGTGGTGCACACCTTGATCCCAGCACTCGGGAGGCAGAGTTTGAGGCCAGCCTGGTCTGCATACTGAGTTCCAGGGACAGCCAGGTATATATACTGAAACCCTGTCTGAAAAAAGAAACTAAAAAGTGTTCAAGTGTTCACATTTCATTGTGTCCAGTCATCTAGTTCTTGATAAGGGCTAAATGGGAAAAATTAATTTAAGATGACAGAGAAAAAGAAAATGCAAGAATAACAAACATTCTTTCTATCTCATCTAGGCTCATGGATTTGAGATTTTGTGCTCCAAATGTAGCCCACATTTTTCTGACTCCAGGAAATCCCTTGTGACTGCTTCACCCCTCTGGGCCAGCTTCCTTGAAAGTCTGAAGAGGAATGATTACTTTAAGGTGGGAATTGTGGTGGTTGCTTCTTCTTATGAATGTGTGTGCATGTATGTGTTATTTGTGTTCTTACACGTGGTGGGGGCCAGAGGGTGGGTAGAGGCGGGGTCTTCCTCTCACTGAACCTGGAGCTCACTAGTTGACTATACTGGTTGGCCAAGGAGATTATAGGCCAGCCTCATCTCAGAGAAATAAATCGAACACCACCACCAAATCCACCCTCACAGGTGGTGGATGTAAACAAATGAGCATGATAATGAAGATGATTAAAACTGAATGCTCCTATACATAGTTTTTGAGAGACCCTTACATTCGAGAATGTAATAGGCATGAGTATGCTCAAAATGCATTAAATATACATACAAGGATATCAAAAATAAAACCCATTACTATATATATTTATCATCTGCTAATGAAACACTCACTAAAATCAATGGAATTTGAGGTCAGATATGGTACTACACACATGTAATCCCAGCTCACCAGAGACTCAGACAGGAAATTCTAAGTTCAAGGCCTGTCTGACTGTGTAGCTATTTAAAGGCCAGCTGAGCCACTTACAAAATCTAGTTTCAAAATAATAATAAAATTGGTCTGGGAGAATAGCACAGTGATGGAGCACCCTCATATTGTGTAGGCACTGTTCTAATGACCGGTATTGTGTTTTCAAGGGACTGATAGAAGGTTCTGCTCAGTACCAGGAAAGACTAGAAATGGCAAAGAACTACTTCCAGCTCTCCATACACCGCCCGGAAAGGTGAGCTATAGCTACCACCCACCACAGAGGAAGGCAGACTGCTGGTTGGGTAGTTCTTTTTAACTAATATGTTTTATAAAATGTCATGGCTGTATGTGTGTATAATGTGTGTATGGATACAGACATGAGCATGCCACTGGGGGAATCAGTGTTTGAATCTATATTATAGATATTTTTATTGTTGTACATAATTTTAGTTAATCATTTTTCTATGAGTATATTTCTTTTTAAAATATTTATTATTTTTATGTATGTGAGTGTTTTGCTTGTATGTCTGTGCACTGCATGCATGCCTGGTTCCCTAAGGAAGCCAGAAGATGGTGTTAGGTCCTCTGGAGCTGGGTTACAATTGTTTGTGGACAGTTACAGCCATGTGAATGAGTGCTGGAACTGAATCTAGGTCCTCTGGAAGAACAACCAGTGCTCTTAACCTCTGAGACACCTCTCCAGTCCCCTACAGTTCTGGGTTTTTGTTTGTTTGTTTGTTTTTTGAGACTGACAAGTGTATGTATTGTTAGACACTGAGGCCAGGAGACTCACAGCCTAAGTGCTCACAGGCTGCCCTGGCACTGAGCACAGGGGTTTGCCTGGCCTTAAAGAAGCCCCACCCCCTACAGTTCTTTATGACACAATATTTAAGGAAATGGATTATGCCATAAAGCACACAACTGTTTTTGCTACTGAAGAAAATATACAAGCTGCTAAACATCTAATATTTTAAGCAAGTGTGATGGTTCATGGGTGTAATCTTAGCACTCAGAAGGCTGAAGCAGGAGGATCACTATGAGTTTGAGGCCAACTGGGCTACATAATTTTTAGGTCAACCTAGCTCATAAAGAGAGATGTTGACTCAAGAAACAAAACAACCAGAATTTGAAAGTTTCAAGGGGGACTCCCATTTCTCACATTAGCCATTTTTCAACAATTTCATTTTGATTTGCTTTGTTTTGGTCTTTTGATATTTAAGTCAGAGTCTCACTATGTATCCCAGCTAGTCTTACATTCTTGTTCCTCTTGCCTCCTCCTTCCAAATTCTGGAATTAAGAACATGAGCCTCGGGATGGGAGTGAGGGGAGGGAGAGGGAGCAGGGATCGACATGTGAAACAAGCTTGTTCCTAATTTGAACAATTAATAAAAAAAAAAAAGTAACAAAAAAAAAAAAAAAGAAAAAAGAACATGAGCCACTGCTGGGTGGTGGTAATGCACGCCTTTAATCCCAGACTTTGGAGGCAGAGGCAGGTGGATCTCAGTGAGTTCCAGGACAGCTAGGACTATTACACAGAGAAACCTGCCTTGAAAGACAGAGAGAGAGAGAGAGAGGGAGAGAGAGAGAGAATATGAGCCACCAAGCCTGGCCTTTTAAACTATTATAAACCAAACTCCTATCTCCCTCCAGACCTGTTCTTGAATCCCAAGTCTTAGATGTCTTCTTCATTTATTTAGACTTGTTTCATCTTCTGTCTATGCCTGTTTTGCCTGAATGTACGTTGTGTGCCATGTTTGTTCCTGGTACTCTTGGGTCGGGAGAGGGTATCAGATCTCCTGGACCTGGAGTTACCAATTTGTTGTGAGCTGTCACGTGAGTGATGAGAGACAAGTCTGAATGCTCTGCAAGAGCTAAGTGCTCTTAACCACCGAGCCATCTCTCCAGTCCTTAGAGCTTTTTAATTTATTTATTATATATACAGTGTTCTGCATGTTTGCCTGCATTCCAGAAGAGGAAACTAGATCTCATTATAGATGGTTGTGAGTCACCATATGGTTGCTGGGAATTGAACTCAGGACCTTTGGAAGAACTGTCAATGCTTAACCTCTGAGCCATCCTTAGAGCTTTGTTTTGTTTGTTTGTTTTTAGAGACAGGGTTTCTCTGTGTAGCCTTGGCTGTCCTGGAACTTGCTCTGTAGACCAGGCTGTTCTCGAATTCAGAGATCCACCTGCCTCTGCCTCCCGAGTGCTGGGATTAAAGGTGTGCTCTACCTCCATCCGGATCATTGTAGTGTTTTAAAGTGTATATCCACTGCAGAACGGTTAAATCTAAGTAAAATGTGTATTACCTCATATATACTTGACGATGTACTTAAAAAATACAGAGTGAATTATAAGTGTTCTGGGTGCATGTGTGCCACAGCATACTTGTGGAAGTTAAAGGGTAACTTGCAGGAGTCAGTTTTCTCCATTCACCATGCAGGTCCTGAGGGTCAAACTCAGGGCATTGGGTTTGGTAGCAGGTGCCTTAACCCACTGAGACATGTTTCAGGTCCCATCTCTTCTTTAAAGGGAAAAAAAAAAAAAAAAAAACTTGTCCACACCCCAATAAAAGTAATCAATTGCCCTCTTCCACATCTCTTTAGCCTTTGTTGTTCTTAAATGATTGTATTTTGCCATAAAAAAAGTCACTTTTAGGGTTTTGTTTTACTGATTATCAGTATCTTTTTTTAGTTCATACCAGCCTCAAACCTTCTGTATAGCTGAGACTGGTTTTAAAGTCCTGATCCTCCTGTCTCCACCTTTCAAGTGCTGGGAAACAGACACACAGACACAGACACACAGACACAGACACACACACACACACACACACACACACACACACACACACACACACACACACACCTGTGCTTTGTCATTTATTAGGATTTTTTTTTCTTGCATAACATGGGGTAGGGATAATTTATTATTCATGTGGCTTTTCAAAGTATCCAGCTGTTTATTGAATTTGCTTCATCTAAATAGTTCAGATAGTTTCATCAGTGTAGATAATAAGTCATGTCACCACCATAAGGAAATGCCTGTCTTTATTTTTTGTAGTTCAGTTGCTATGAGTCCAGGTGAGGAAATCTTAACCGTGTTGCAGACACTGCCTTTTGATGTCGAGGAGCTCAAGAAAGAAGGAGCCGCTCTTCCTCCTGAGGATGGTGAGGGATGGGCACAGAGCAGAGCAGGGAGGTAAGAAAGGCCTCTCCTGTGGCGTGGCTCACCTGCCTTCTTTTTCAGATGACCAGTGGTTAGACCTCTCACCAGACCAGCTGGACCAGCTGCTGCAAGACACTACAGGCAGAAAAGAGTCACAGCCCATTTCCCAGAAGGAGGAGCAGAAGAATTATGATGTAGCACAGGTCTCAGACAGCATGAAGGCCTTCATCTCCAAAGTCTCAACCCACAAGGGGGCAGAGCTGCCAAGGTAGCTACACTAAAGAAAAATGCCCAGTTACGCCCAGTGTCGAAGTCAGCAGCAGCATCAGAAAGTACCATTTCCACTTGGGTTTTCTTCTGTTTTATTTTGTTTGAGTCTTACTGTGTTGCCCTGGTCTCAAACTCCTGGGCTTATGTTATCTGTCTCAGACTTCTGAGCAAATGTGACTATAGCCACATGCCACCACACTTGGTGTTGTTTTGATATTGCTTTTCTCTTTCTCTCTTCTTTCTTTCTAGTATGAGTGTAATTGTTTTTATTTTTGAGCAGATTCCTTTCACTGCTTTGTTTTCTATTTTGGTGCTGCATATAGTGCATCCTCTTTATCTGAGGTCAGATTGCAAGTTGCCTTTGTAATTCCTGAAGTAAGCCAGAAAACTCAATAGTTTAAAAGCCACCGCCCAGAACCACGGCACTTTCACTTTACTCTTTTTGGTTTGTTTGTTTTTCAGATAGGGTCTCTTTACATAACCCTGGCTGTCTTGGAACTCACTATATAGACCAGGCTAGCCTTGAAATTATAACTGTCTGTCTTCCTCTGGCTCCAGAGTACTGATGTTAAAGGTGTGAGCTCCCATGCCTGGCTTCTATAGACTCTTTTTCAGAACCTGTAGACTCTATTGCATGTAGCTCTCAGCAGGCTCAATTGGACTTGAATCTTGAAACTCAAAGAGAGGGATTAAAGGAACTTATCAGAGGCAGAAAGAATCACAGAACTGTGGAGCTATTTGTGGCAAGTAACTAGGGAAAAGTGGATAGAATTGTTACCTGTATAGCAAATATCTCTCTTCTTTTCTTTTTGGTGGTAATGGGATTGACCTAGAGGCTGACACTATTGACCCAGAGACTGACACTGTTGAACAGAGACTGTACACTGTTGACCAGAGGCTGTACACTGTTGACCAGAGACTATACACTATTGACCAGAGGCTGACACTGTTAACCAGAAGTTGTGCACTATTGACCAGAGATTGTACACTGTTTACCCAGAGGCTATATACTGTTGACCAGAGACTGTACACTGTTTACCCAGAAGCTGACACTTTTGACCAGAGGCTATATACTGTTGACCAGAGTCTGTACACTGTTGACCAGAGGCTGACACTGTTGACCAGAGGATGACACTGTTGAACCAGAGACCATGCACTCTAACAAGTGTGCCTTGAGTTCCTTACCCAGCCCAATGAAACTTTGTCAGTGTTACTATTCCTGAACTGTAAGAAAAGATACAAGTTTATGCATATTATTAGTTGTTAAGAAGGAGAGAATAAGGGAACATGTAATTTGTTAGGCTTTGATTTTTGTTATTGTTATTTTCTTGCCTTAAACTCAAATGAAATCATGATCTTCCTGACTGCATCTCCCAAGTGCTGGGGTTAAAGGCATAAGCTCGGAGTCCTGTAAAAATAAGCATTATGTGAGTGAACTCAGATAAGTCATTTCTTTTACTATGTATCTTGTAGGGGGTAAAGAGCAGACAGGGCCGGGCGTTGGGTGGCACACGCCTTTAATCCCAGCACTCCGGAGGCAGAGGCAGGCGGATCTCTGTGAGTTCGAGGTCAGCCAAAAAAAAAAAAAAAAAAAAAAAAAAAAAAAAAAAGAGCAGACAGGTCACCAAATGCATATGCCTACCTGTATGTTAACAAGGTGTAATTTTTACTTTTCTGTCACCAGATTTTTGTATTCCTATTGCCACTCAGATAAGCACAAGGAATTTTTTTTATTTATTTAAACTATGATTTCCCTTTCTGTTCCTTTCTTGGATATTTCTGGTAGTTTCTCTAAGCATAGCATTGTCTTAGAACATGTCTTAAAGAACTGTGGCCAGGATAAATTACATGCCCTTTTCCCTTTGATCTTTCAGAGACCCTTCTGAAGCTCCAATCACTTTTGATGCAGATTCTTTTCTTAATTATTTCGATAAGATTTTAGGTAAGTTACCATGTAGTGTTTACTTTTATTTTGAATCTGTAAAGGGTATCATTGTTGTTAGTCACTGGGACGTTAGATCATTTATGAGCCAAAATACTACTTTTCTTTTGATGGTTTCGAATTGTGTTTAGCCATAAATTACTGCCTGGTCGAACCATTTTACAGAGACTGTTTAATCAGTGTCTAGCTTGCTAGTTGCTGACTGACAGAGTGTACAAACCTTTTATGCTTTGAAAGGATTTTAATGTGGCTTCCATATTACATTTTTTTTTTTTGGTCTTTTCTTTCAGACTTACTATTTTAGAAATCAATAAGAAAATAAGAAACAACACAGAAGGCTGGGGAGATGGCTCAGTAAAGTGCTTGCTACATAGGAGCATGAAGACCTGAGTTCAGATCTCTGGCATTCACATAAAGAGCCAGGCACAGATGCAGAGGCCTCTGATTCCAGTACTGAAGGGACAGAAATAGATAGGCGGATCCCTGGAGCTTGCTGGGGAGCTCTAGGTTCAGTGGAGAGACTGTCAAAGTACAAGGTGAAGAGTGATAGAAAAAGGCAACTAACATGCACTGTACACTCATGCAGACACACTGGCACACATGTGTGCATGCACACACATACAAAACAAAAACACAGGGTGTGAACAGGCTCTGCACTGAAGAGTAGCCAGTAAATCTTTGAAAATAGTTAACTCTTCCTAGTAAGCAAGCAAATGCAGAATAAAAGCATGATTTTTTCCCCATCTTATTGAAAAATTTAATCAACTACTTTAAAGGGTTGGAGAAATGAATACCATCAAACTCTGTGGGGAGAAGTAAATATAAGTTGTCTTTCCACAGGACATTTTGAGAATCTAGGAAGCCCATTATTTTTGACTTAACAATTTCACTTCAGGGATTTACTCTGTGAAAGAGGTAAATGATCACTGATGGTCTTTTCATTGCTTTTTTTGTAGCACCAAAATTCTAATAACCACCAAGAGAGAAATGGGTAAATAAATCACTGTATTATGAATTTGCACAGCTATAATAAAGTATGAAGTCATCTGTATATTTTGTAAGAAGACTTTTCTACATAGTATGTAGAAAAGCAGGCCATAGTTCACTGTGAGCACATCTAGGTTACAAAATAAACCATGGGGCTGGGTGATTGGTCTTTGAAGGGGCTGGAATTTGGTTCTGATCACCCATGTCAGCTGGCTCACAACCTCCTATAGTTTCAGCTCTGGAGGATCTGATGCCCTCTTCTGACCCCTGTAGGCTCCTGCACACACACATGGGCGTATGTATGTACATACACAAATGAAAATAAATCCTTTACTGAAAGAAATATCCATATTTGCATATGCCTGTGCACAGAGCTGTATCCATTAGATCTGACATCTGGACACCATCCAGCTGTTCAAAGATGTCTCAGAGAAGGCAGTGAACTAGGAAACAGTGTCTCTATAGCTGAATATTGACATCAATGTAGATTTATGCCATTTTCTAATTTTAAATTTTTAAAAATTTGCACCTGTAATCTTAAAAGGTTTATTTTATATTTTTTGCCTGTGTGTATTTATATGCATCATATGTGTGCATAGTTCCAGAAGAGGGTTTTGGATCCCCTGGAACAGGCGTTCCAGATGGTTGTAAGACAACAAATGCTCTTAACCTATGAGCCATCTCTTCAGCCCACATGTTTTTACCTGTATTTTTTTATGGTGCTGGAGGTCAAACCCGGGGCCTCACACATGGTAGGCAAGATCTCTACCACTGAGCTCAGTTTTTAAATATTCCCAACCCAGTTTTTAAATTTAAAAATATTTATTGTGTGTGTGGTGGTGTGTGTGTAACAGCATGGGTGTAAAGGTCAGACAGAGGTCAACCTTGTGGAGTAGTTTTCTTCTTCCACCTTAGGGATCTAACTCAGATCACCAGGTTGCACAGCAAGTACCTGTCCTTGGAACCATCTCAGCAGCCCAACTTTTCATCTTATTTATTTATTTTGGTATTTTTTGAGACAGGGATTCTCTGTGTTACAGCCTGGGCTATCCTGGAACTCACTCTGTAGACCAAGCTGGCCTCCAATTCACAGGATCTGCCTGCCTCTGCCTCCAGTGCTGGGATTAAAAGCGTGTGCCACCACTGCCTGGCTTCATCTTAAAAAACAAAAACAAAAAAACCTTTTAATTAATCATACTAACTTTAAAAAACTAAAGTTGAATCTCTTGGCTTAGCCTATTCACAGTCCTATAAATGCCTTCCTGAACCATTATTTTGCGAAAAGGTTTTTACAAAGTAGTTGGGCTAACCCATTTATTCCTTGCAGAACATTCCAATTCTTTTGAGAGGTTTAACTCTGCTCAAAAATGTGTACCAAGTGGTTCTTTCTGTGTCACCATCAATATAGGCACAAAATCTCAAGAGTCAGACTCTGATGATCTGGATGAAGATGACTTTGAATGTTTAGACAGTGACGATGACTTGGACTTTGAAACTCAGGACTCTGAATCTCTGAAAGGAGCTCTTGGCAGTCTCAAGTCCTACATGGCCCAGATGGACCAGGAACTGGCACACACCAGCATGGGTAAAAGCTTCAGTACCCGGAAGCAAATGGTGAGTGTTTTTTCACCTCTCCTTCCTCATGTGACAGTCATAATTCATCTGAGTTTTCTTTTTGTCTCTTTTGATTTGTGAGGTTTGAAATAAATGAGTGCTGGTTTTAATGCAGGCTCATCCCAGGGCCTGGGGTACATGCAAAGCACACAGTCCTACCCCAAGAACGCTAGTTTCCCCCAACACTGGTATAATGAAAGGTTATAGGGACAGCTGCAATGACATGTGCTTGTAAGTCACAGCTACTGAAAAGGCTGAGAAGGGAGGATCCCTTAAGCCCCAGAGTTTAAGACCCATTGGGGCAAAATACTGAGGCTGTGACGATGGGGACAGGTGCTGAGAGTGTAGTTCAGCGGTAGAGCAGGTATCTGACGTGCACAAAGCCTTTGGCTGAGTCCTCCCCACTAACAGGAAAAGGCAGATTATAAACTTTGTTTTCTAAATACAAACTTAATGACAACTCCTTCTCCTTCTCCTTCTCCTTCTCCTTCTCCTTCTCCTTCTCCTTCTCCTTCTCCTTCTCCTACTTCCTTCCCCCTTTATGTCCACTTCCTTCTTTTTCTTTACCTCAGTATGTTGCTCAAAGTGCTTTTACACTCCTAGGCTCAAGTGATCTATCTACCTGCTTCAACCTGCAGAGTAGCTGGAACTACAGGCATGGGCTACCATGCATGGTTATAATTATATTCTTTTTAGTTTTTCCAGACAGGGTTTCTTTGTGTAGACTTGGCCATCATGGAACTCACTTTGTAGACCAGGCTGGCCTCTTCAAACTCATAGAGATTGGCCTGCTTCTGCCTCCTGAATTCTGGGGTTAAAGGCGTGCACCACCACCCAGATATAATTATATTCTTTTGTTGTTGTTGTTTTGTTTTTGTTTTTTTTTTTTTTTGAGACAGGGTTTCTCTGTGTAGCTTTGGAGCCTGACCTAGAACTAGCTCTTTTAGATCAGGCTGGTCTCAAACTCAGAGAGATCTGCCTGCCTCTACCTCCCAAGTGCTGGGATTAAAGGCCTGTGCTACACCACCACCCAGCTATAATTATATTCTTAAAGAGGGCAGGGAACTGAGATGACTCAGCCATTTGGAGCACTTGCTGTTCTTGTAGAGGACCTGGGTTCAGCAGGGCAGCTCACAACCATCTTAAAACTCCAGTTCCGGGGGCTGGAGGGATGGCTCAGAGGTGAAGAGCACCAACTGCTCTTCCAAGGGTCCTGAGTTCAATTACCAGCAACCACATGGTGGCTCACTCACAGAGATATCCACCCCCTGACCACTCCCGGGTGCGGACTTGATGGAGGGTAGGACTTGGTCTGGGGTCCCGGACCCCAGCTTGCTCTCTCCCTTTCTGTCGGGTCACAGAGAGCAGCCTGTGTGGATCCTTGGAGCGGGAACTTGCGGTGGTCATCTGTTTCCTTCTCCTGGAATAAAATTATATTAACCTATATTGAGCCTAGTCCCGTGAATCTCGATCCATGCATCCATAAATATATCTATGGGTGTTTTGTGTGCATGTATGTTTGTGCATGCCAGGTGCCCTTGGATGCCAGAAGAGGGCACCAGGTCTTCTGGGACTGAAGTTATAGATGGGACTGGAATTCCATACAGTGTGAGCTGCCATGTGGGTCCTGGGAATTAAACCTGGGTCCTCTAGATTAGCCAGTGCTCCTAATTTCTAAACCATCTCCAATTCATTTCTTAAGATTTACATTGTGTGTGTGTGTGTGTGTGTGTGTGTGTGTGTGTGTGTGTGTACGCACATGTACGCAAGTGAGCATCACCACTGTGCGTGGGCTGAGGTGAGAAGGCATCGATCCCTTAGAGCAGAGTAACGTGTTTGCAGGACACCTGGCTTTCTACTTGGGTGTTGTGACTGTAACTAACTTTCATGATGGCACAGAGATGCTCTTAGCCACTGGACCATCCCTCCAGCCCCCATAGTTATTTTCTTTATGCTATGATCTCTCCGGATTTAAAGTAAAAAATCATTATGTACTCAAATGAGCATGTGATTATTACCACTACTGCCATTATATTAGGTTTTTGCTTTTCTTTTGTGCGTGTACGTGCATGAGTGTGTGTGTGTGTGTGTGTGTGTGTGTGTGTGTGTGTGGTATGTTTGGAAGGGGTATAGTGGGGAGATTTTTGAGATAGAGCCTCACTTTGTAGCCCAAGTTGGTCCCAAAGTTGTGCTGGGATTACAGGCATGAGCCACCATGGCTGACAGTAAGTAGATTTTTTTTTTTTTTTTTTTTTAAGAAATAAGAGTGGCTAGAGTAATGAGTCAGTGGATATAAGGGTGCTTTTTCTCATGCCTGACAACCTGGGTTCAGTCCCTGGAATCCACATTGCAGGAAAGAACCAATTCCCCAAAATTGACCTCTGACTTCAGAGCACTCATGCACATACCAACTATACACAGAGACAGAGAAAGAGAGAATAAACCTTTAAAAATGTAAAGAGAGCTAAGAGGAGCTTATTATCTAAATAACTTCAATCTTAATTGTTTCCTGTTTTCCTAGTTTAGAGCCAACTTTGAATTCCTCTACCATTCACATAGTCATCTTAGTGTTTTTGACATCACTGTTTAGCTGACAAGAAGCATTATGGGAAAAGCACAGACACTAGAGTGTCATGGACCAGAGTTTGAAATATAGCTCAGTCATCTACTGTGTGCATTAGCTAACTAATGAAAATCCTCATGTCATAGAATTAGCATGAAGTAACAGTAGAGTCCATGACAGCTCATGGTTAATATGAACTCTGTTTTCTTTAACCATTTAAACCACATTTAAAACTATAATTGCTCTCAACCTAGTAGAAAGTATTTATTACATTTAATTGTGAATAAATATCATTCAAGGATCTTTTTATAATAAGGGCCTTTTTTTGATTTCTTGAGACAGGGTTTCACTGTTTAGCACTTGGCTGTCCTGGATTTCACTCTGTAGACCAGGCTGGCCCTGAAATCACAGAGTTCCACTTAAAGGCATACATCACCACATCAGGCAATAATGGCCTTTATTAAGGCAAATGGACGAAGAGCTGAAATTTTCTGTTTTGGGAAATCCTGAGAGATTCAAACTGTTAATATGTGGACCACAGTTTGAGTAACAAAGATGTAAAGGTCTGCCGGGCGGTGGTGGCACACACCTTTAATCCCAGCACTCCGGAGGCAGAGGCAAGTGAATCTCTTGTGAGTTCTAGACCAGCCTAGTTTACAAGAGCTAGTTCCAGGACAGCCTTCAAAGCCACAGAGATACCCTGTCTCGAAACCCGCCCCCCCCCCAAAAAAAGATATAAAGGTCTATAGGTCAAGATGTAATTTTCCAACTCTTTTTTCCCCCCAGCCTGTGAAATAAGAGGGCCAAGATGCTTTGTAATTAGACTGTAGTTAGATGCCACTTAAAAGATTATAGTCAGGGAGCTGGGTGGTGGTGGTGCATGCCTTTAATCCCAGCACTTGGGAGGCAGAGACAGGTGGATCTCTGTGTGTTTAAGGCCAGCCTGGTCTACAGATCCAAGTTCCAGAATAGCCAGAGATACACACAGAGAAACCCTGTCTTAAAGAAAAACAAAAACAGTGGCTGGAGAGATGGCTCAGCAGTTAAGAGCACTGACTGCTCTTCAAGAGATCCAGGTCTTGAGTTCAATTCCCAGCCACCACATGGTGGCTCACAACCATCTGTAATAAGATCTGGTGCCCTCTCCGGGCCTGCAGGCAGAACACTATAACATAATAGATAAATAAATCTTAAAAACAAAACAAAACAAGGGCTGGAGAGATGGCTCAGAGGTTAAGAGCACCAGCTGCACTTCCAGAGGTCCTGAGTTCGATTCCCAGCAACCACATGGTAGCTCACAACCATCCGTTATGAGATCTGGTGCCCTCTTCTGGTGTGCAGATATACATGGAAGCAGAATGTTGTATACATAATAAATAAATAAAATCTTTTTTAAAAAAACCCAAAAAATTGTGGTCAAGGAACAAAAAGAACATCTAAGTTTTTTAATTTGGAAGAAAATTTATATTTTTGTCTTTTATTAATGTATAATATTTACGCAGGTTATGGGTATACCTCTTTAATGCTAACTCTCTCTTTTGGGTTATTTCAAACCAGGGATAGATCTGTTCAGTTCATAGGACTGCTTTTGAGACAGACATGTGTCACGTTCTTTAGAACCCTGCTTCTATTGTCTTATGTTAAGACAGGGTCTCTAGTCCAGATTGTCCTCAAGCTCCCTGTACAGCTGAGGATGACCTTGAACTTCTGTCTTCCAGCTTCCACCTCAAGTGCTGGGATGACAGGCATGTCATCCACCGCCCCTGATGGAACCAGGTGTTAATATATACATCAAATCACATTTTTAGAGCTCATTTCACTTTATGTTACTAAGGATTGGAAATTTCATTTCTAATTTGGAATTCAAGTATATATAGTATTGCTAAGTTATTACATTTTACTGTAATAACATCCAACATAAAGGGTTCCTATCTCATGTTGTTCTCTCTCCCCTCCCCCAGAAGAAGGACCTTCCATCCCAGACTGCAAATGACAATTCAGATGAGGAAGACTCAGGCGCAGGTGATTGTGTTGTCGAAACAGTGGATGTAGACCTAAACCTGGTCTCAAATGTACTGGAATCCTACAGCTCCCAGGCCGGGCTGGCAGGGCCTGCTTCCAACCTGTTACACAGCATGGGTGTGCGACTCCCTGACAATGCGGATCACATCCCCCAAGGAAGCCAGTGAAGGGTTAGCCTGCACATCAGCTGAATAAACCCTGAGTAAACAATAAATAAATTCTCACTGACTAAACATTGAGTCCAAGTGCACGGATTTCTAGTCAGCGATTTGTAAGATTGTCGTCAGAGCTCCAGTACACCTCTGCACAAGTACTGGGGCCTCGTGAGCTTGTTTTGTTTGGTTTAAATTTTCCCAAGACATGGTCTTCCTTGTAGTATAGTAAAACACAATCCCCCTTGATGTGATTCTGAATATTTAGTTTCTTCCTTAGGTGTGTTCCTCCTCTGACAGAATTCTAAGTTGGCAAAAATCCATTTGATTATTTTTTAAGGAGATATAATGTGCTAAAATTTAAAGTGTTTGTTCTGTGACATTTTGCACCCGTGTTCCTAATTCAAGATAACTTAATTTCTTAATTAACTAGTTAAAAACATACATAGTGGGTGTCATGGAGGCATTTCATAGCTGGGTATAGTGCTTGGCTTCTGTTCACCCCCAGCCTCCTTTGTCTCCTCCCCCTCACGCTGTTCTGCTTCATGTCTCATATAAACCACATTTAAGTCTTGATTCTGCATAGCAGAGAGATGTGGTTTTTCTTTGTTTGTACCTCCGTTGCCCTCTCTTGTTCCCCTTCCCATTAAGTCCATTCTGTTTCATGTCTCATTTACTTCTCTTTCTTTCTTTCTTTCTTTCTTTCTTTCTTTCTTTCTTTCTTTTTTTTTCTTTAGCTGAGACAGTCTCATGTAGCCAGGGTGGCCTCAAATTTTCTATGTGCCTGAAGACTGTTGTCTGGGCACACGAATATGTAGAATTTTGCTTTCTGTTAATATTCATCCTTCTGTTTCTATAGCCTAAGTGCTAGAATTACAGGCATGGGCTGTCACACCCAACTTTACTCTTACTGTATATTGTCCTGTGAAAGTCAAAGCTGGGGGCTGGAGAAATGGCTCAGTGATTTAGAACACTTACTGTTCTTGTAGAGGACTGGGGTTCCATTCCCATCACCCACATGGTGGCTCACAACCAACTCTCACTCCAGTTCCAGAATGTTTGATGCCCTCTTCTGGCCTCTGTGGATACTGCATGCATGTAGTGAACATACATACATATAGACAAAACACACACACATAAAATATAAATAATTAAAAAGAAAATTGTCAGGCTGTTTGGAGAGCCTTATCAATAAAATGCTTGCCACACCTTTTAGCTCTCCATAATCCACCCAAAAAAGCCAGATCTGGTGGCACACGCTTGTAATCCTAGCCCTGGGTTTATCTATAACTTGCTGGTGAACAAGTTCTGTGCCAGTGATAACCCTTTCTCAAAAACCATGTGGCTGGCTCCTGAGGTTGACCTCTGCCTCCACACGTGAACACAAGTCTGCCTGCATGCACACACATATACAGAAGCATCAGATAAATGTTTCTTTTAGGCAACATTTTAGCATTTTAAATAGTTTTAAATGTTAAGAATAAATTTTTTAAAAAAGAATACATCTTACAGTGTTTTGCAATTCAGTCCCCACATTGGGGTTCTGTCACAGCTTGATTATGAGAAAAAGGCTTTCCCACAATGCATTTACGTATGTTAACTATATCTTCACTGATGACTAAATGTTGAGGAAGGGGGCAACAGATAAAAAAAAGGCATGAGTGGGCTGCTTTTCTATTTCCATTACCCAAGGTGCCTGACCTTGGGCCACACTCCCTCTGGTGACAAATACATTTGTTCAAAGGTTTTGCTTTTTTTGCTAATCTGCATCATGGCCCCAGCTGTATGCCCCTATATCCTTAGCACTTCTATAATCCTGTGTGCATATACATATGTGTTCATGTGCACGCACGTGTGTCCTATGTCCACTTACCTTCTAATTTCAGATTCTTGTCCTATCTTTCAGAAGACCTTGGAGTTCTGTGGCAAGGCCCCTCTACCGTACTTGTGCTGGGAAAATGAAATTCAGTGTTGCAGTTTCTCCTATTAGCTACCTCCATCTTTTCCAAAACAAAACAAAAACAAGCCAAACAAAACAGTTTCATCAAAAAGAAAACAAAGAAGCAGGAACCCAGAGCACTCCTACAATCTCACCCCCTTCACAGCAGGGCAGGCAGAGATAGATGCTGAACTGCTTTCTGAACTGCTTTCTGACTGCAGGTGTGAAGAAACCTCAGGTTCCTTTCCCAAGTGCTTTTCTCTGTGATGCTTTTCTCTGTCATCTTGGGTGGAGGCAAACTGTCAAATCAGGACCAGGCCATGTTATCTTTCAAGAACTCCAGATGAAGGCACCTGGGTCTTCCCAGAAATGATCTTTTGGGATCAAAAGGAAATTCAGAGCCTCAACTTTTCACTTCCGGAGTCTTTTGCCTAGTGCTGTGGGGTTCTAATGTGTTATGTGATATTTTGATCGCATTCTGACAAAGTTTGCTTTGAGCCAGAGGGTGGAGTTAACCACTAGCTGACCAAAATTAACCATAGAGGTTTTGGAGGACCGAGGACAGATAGGAGACAGGAAGTTATAAGGTGGGGTTGAGAGAGGATCTCGACCTTTTGGATGGAGGAATGGAAGAGATAGGTCACTGGTGGCTTCTCTGCTGCTTATCCGATCATTCAGGTTCTTACCCTGATATCTGACTCCTGAAATTTTATTGATAAAGAATAGTTAGATAAACTCTTCACTTAGCATCCAATTTGGGACATGAAATCACGAAGTAGCTGCTCACCCCTCACTTTGTAGCCACCGGAGCCACCACACTGCCAGCTGGCCTTTCCTTTCTGGCCTCAAGCCCTCAGAGAGTCTGGGATCTTCCTGTTGCAGCTTCCCTACAACAGCCTCCCACTGCTGCCCAAACTCCACAGGCCCCAAACTCCTGAGGTGCCTAGGCTGCAAACTGAGTTAGCTGCCTGTAGGGCACACGAACCAGTCTAAGCTGGTAAAACGTAGGGCGCCTAGGCGCATGATAGGTTGACCTTTAAAACCATTTTTAAAACCATTGGCTAGCTGCCCCCCCCAGCGGTTTTTTTTTTTTTTTCCTTTAAAGACCTTACTGTGGGACAATAAATGAGTTCCTGCTTGACTAGACTCCCTGCTGCTCTGATTGTCCCTGGGATCCTGGGAGGCTGGGCGAGCAGTGCAAGTACCTTTCCTCAGATCTAGCTCAGCCTTCCATGGTTGCACCGGCTCTGCCTTCAGGCAGCTTCCTGCCATGCATGCTTCTTCCCCACATACCCATGTCCACTTTTAAGATGTCTGGCTCTTCCCTGTGGGTTTTGGGCTTCCCCGGAACCCCCTCCTTGGGTTGCTGCCACACTATGTTAGCCACATTGACACCTGCTCGGGCTTCTGTTGTTGCAGCCTCCACACGTTTGGCTCACGGCTGCACTCAGCAACTGTATCTGCCCTCAGCCAGGTTGTGCACCAACTGTGTTCTCTGCCCAGCTGTGCTACACAGCGACAGCCAGCCACACACTTCACTGTCATCGTCATGCGTGTTAGGATTCCCTGAAGGCAAGGAAAACTGTACCCATCTCTGGCTGGAAGCAGTCTCTGTAAAACAATTAAGGTTAGTGGGGGATGGGAGATGGTCCAGCTCCAAGCGTGCCTGAATCAGAAAGAATCCTCGGGAAGTAGCACCTGAGCTCTCATGGCTGCAAATGTTCTGCGGGATGGAAACATATAAAGGTTAAAAAGGCCTTTTAAAATCTGTGTGGGAATGCCTCTAGTGCCTCTGATACAAACCTTATTAAAGTTTGCTCCCTAAAGCATACTTCTATCCTAAGGCTTGTAAATTACATGTTACATTCCTTGTTAGAATGAACTCTGACTTCTAGTTTTAATAACATTTGCATAACACATATAGCAAGGTTACAGACATTAACAATCTCATGAACATACATTAGGATGAGTTACAGTACAATCAAAAGACAATAAGATTTTCTCACAATCTGTGGGGTGTGAACAATTTTACAATTCTAAACCTTTTTCCTTTATTCCCTACCTGGGACTCAATGCCCCTTGAAATTTTCTGTTTCTTGTTCAAAGTCCAAAGTTCTGACATCAGGTTTGTAATATCAGTCTTTGAATGTTAACTAAAAAGTCTTTTGTTCATGTCTTGATTAAGCACTGTGAAGGAGCTTCTGCCACTCTGGTTTATGCCAGTATCCAACTGTCCTAAATGGGTCCTTTTTCCCAATGGGAAAACTGGCAAAACAGTTTTGTGTGTCTGTTTGTGGCAAGAAAGCAAGCTGTTTGTTGTCCAGTTCTTAGTCTGCTCCTGGATGAGCACTCACGGATTCAGAGAGGTGGATGTAGTCCGTCTGTAGGGAAGCTGGAACTCTGGAAAGCATCTCGAAACTGGAACTGGGTGGGTGTGTCTTCTTTCTTCCTATGGGCCGTATGTCAGATGTCCTCAAAGTTCAGGAACACAGGTTCAGTGTTTCACTCCAGCTGGTTCAGATGGTCTCCCAAGGCCTCACTCAGGTCCAATTCCTTCTCTGCTCCATGCATCTCATCAACCGCTCCAGCAGCCAGCACGCCTGGTTCTCCACCTTTGAGAAAACACAGACATGCCTTCGACCTCCAAATAATTACGGGGTCTGGTCCCCTCTATTCAACTCTCCATTTGACCTGAGCAAAATTCGCTCGAGTTCCTTCATGCCAGAATCTGTCTGCATCAGATTGCTCACTGGCATCCATATTTAAAAAGTTTAAAATAAACAGTGCGTGGTTTAATGCATCATGTGGAAACTGGGGGCACAGCTCCCCCTTTTTATCTTTTTCAGCTAAGTTTTTAGGGCACTATGGGCCCAATTTATTATTCCTTGTCCTTGGGGATTATAAGGAATACCTGTTTTGTGATCAATTTTCTATTGAGCACAAAATTGTTGGAAAGCTTTGCTAGTATATCCAGACCCATTATTTGTTTTTACTGTTTAACTTTTGGCATTCCCATGTAAGCAAAACATCTTAAACAGTGACTTATAACATGTCTGGTGGCTTTTCCTGTTTGTGGAGTGGCCATTAAGAAACCTGAATACGTGTCAATTGCCATGTGCACGTATTTCAACCTGCCAAACTCCGTGATATGAGTCATATCCATTTGCCATAAATGGTTGCAGAGCAGGCCTTGAGGATTCACCCCTAAATTAGCCATAGCTGTATTGTGGACATATTCCACATTGTTTGATGATTTGACCAGCAGTCTCTCTGGTTAAGCCAAATTGCTTTCTTAGACTTTTGCTATTTTGATGAAGAAAGTTACAAGACTGTCGAGCTTTCTCTATTTTAGGCAAATCAACCAATTTTGTTAATCAGTTAACTCATTCCATTTGGCTAGTAATCAGGGAAAGGCCTATTTAATAGGTTCCCAGTATGACCCATAAACCATGGTAATTCTCTTAGGTGAATAACATTTTGAATTTGCTTAAATAATATTCTAACCTGACTATTATTGGATCCTATGCATGGAACTGTCTCTATTACCGATTGAGCCTTAAAGACATAGTGACTGTCAGTATATAAATTAAATGAATTATTTATTAGGATCTGAAAGATCATTGTAGCTGCTTGCAATTTGACTATTTGAGCTGAAGCCAGAGCTGTCTGCTCTATTTCTTTTTATCATAAATATAGGCGGCCCTCCCATTGGATGAGCCATCAGTAAAAACTAACAGCATTTTTTACAGGATTGCTTTTTACAATTTTGGGGACTATAAAAGGATGTATTAGTCCATGAGCTAGAAACTGATTATCAATTCTTCCTGAAAACTGAGCAAAGGCAACCACCCACAAATCATTGTTCTGAAACAACCAATTAAACTGTTGCTAGGCGTAAGGGACATGTATCATATTTGGTTCTCTCCTAAAATATTTTCTAGAATCTATATGGCATTTCTGCATCATGTAGGCTACTGCTATAATATAAGGGTTTAATACTTAGGCTGGTGAGACAGGTAGGCGTAACCATAATAATGGTTCCTTCTGCCACAAAACAGAAGTCGGACTATGCTTTGTGGGGAGCACATAAGCCTCCCATGGTTTTGTATAGTCAATACATTTGTTGATGCTGAATCGCCTCCTCTAATTATAGAACTTGTCTTCCTTCTTAGCTGTTTGGGTACATTTGGATGATTATCTCCTTATGGAATCTTATTTAAAGGATTTAAATCATCATTAGATGCACCCAAAAAGGTACTTAACCATTGAATATTTTATAACAACTTCTAAAAAACTCATTTAAAGATTTTAAACTATCTTTTCCAATTGCTATCTATCAAGTCTTAATTTCTTTAGAATACAGCATATGTCCCAAACAATTTTTAAGATTTACTTAGTTTCTCTGTAGCCTTTTCTAATCTAATCTTCGAAGCTGACAAGTTGATAAGACCTCATTTGCATCTTAGCTGACCTGGCCTAATTTGCATTTATAAAGACATATTTAAGCTGTGAATCTAACAGGATGGCTCTCTTCTGAGGCTTTTCATAAACCTTGTTCAAAATCATGTATCAACTTGTATTTTCTAGACTTTCCTTTTTCAACCATAAAAATTTAGGAAGATCTGTATCCTCTCATCTGCCAAATTTTACAGAATCATCCATAGATTCCTCATGTTTCTAAGCTAACGCTATAGGCTTTTGCTAACTTTTTTATTGACTATCTCCTAGGGATCAAGTCATTAATTTTTCCTGTTAAAGCATTGACTGACTGACTGGACGACCATATTAAAGTGATTTTGATATTTTTTAATCTATATCCGAGGCAATGTAAATATCTCTCTAATCATATCCAAGGCAATTTAGGTATTTCCATTCATACACATTCATAAATTTACAACCACATCATGCATCCAGGTGTGGCCACACTGTTCATTCATAACTTGCATACATCTCACATTTCTCCTTTTGCCTAGGTTATGATCAGTTTGTTGAAAAGAAAAATCCCTAATTGAACTTTCTCCTAACATAGTAGCTATAGTCAATCCTTGAAATATGAGCATCCAAAATTTGGGAACAGATCTAAGCTTAAATATGTTTCCCTTTCTTCTCTATAAGTCTCAAAACAGTTTCTGTCTGGCTATATCAATAGCATTATATACTTATTATGTATACAACATTCTGCTTCCATGCACACCAGAAGAGGACACCAGATCTCATAAGGGATGGTTGTGAGCCACCATGTGGTTGCTAGGAATTGAACTCAGGACCTCTGGAAGAGCAGTCGGTGCTCTTAACCTCTGAGCCATCTCTCCAGGCCTCAAGGTTATTTTTGTTAGAACATAGTGTACATACCTTTCTACTCTTATTTAAGGTATTGTACCTATGCAGTTCATTTAACAATGTAATGTAAATATCTAGTCCTTGAAAGTTATTATTACAAACTATTTAGGATAATAAATACAGATTGGTAGTTAGTCACTTATTACAATCAAACTTATAGTCACGTTAGGTATGTTTTCAAGGTCAAACAGAGATATGTTTTAGATAGACAGGTGGTCTTCAAACACTTCAGAGATCTACAGAATTTAAGATGTTTTAATCTTACAAGGCTTTTTATGACAATTGGAGATGTTTCTCCTGGCAGGACCAATTGACTTCAAAGAAGATGATGAGCATCAAAGGTATTGATGCAAATTCCATATGGAGTTTGCTTTCTTTGTGGTAAAAGTTAGCTACTGGGCAATAAACTGCCCTTGCCTCAACTGCTGACAGTATGCTGTCCAAATTGGACAAGGAGGACACAAAGGAAAGTGACTGCTGAACTTTGCCAAGACGAGGCAGGACAGTCCTTCACAATTCCTGCTTCACAGAAAAGCCTGTCATATATTCTAGGCCTGTAGGCCACAGACGGATGCCCCAGCATTACAGAGGAACCTTGGGTGACTGTCCAGTCAGCTGTTTCTGTCATTTCTTAGTTTAGGAAGTTGTTTGCTCTGCACTTCATGTTTACTCAGGCAATACCATATCCTTCCTAAGTCTCTAATGGAGTTGAAGACTAGATAGTCATACAGTTTTCCTTGTTACCAAATTCAGAAAAGAAACTCACAAAAGTGGTGTAAAGTATGTAAGATTGAGGCGTAAAAGGATTGTTTTGGTTAATAATACAAGTTAGGATAGAAAGTGAATTAGGAGCCAGGCATTGGTGGTGCAGGCTTTAATCCTGGCACTCACGAGGCAGAGGCAGGTGGATCTCTGTGAGTTCGAGGCCAGCCTGGTCTACAGAGCGAGTTCCAGGACAGGCTCCAAAGCTACACAGAGAAACCCCATCTCGAGGAAAAAAAAAGAAAGAAAGTGAATTAGGTACAAAACTTTGGACTCACCAAGAAAGGATATCTAATGGAGTGTTTTCTCTGATTTTGCCAAATGCAAATGAATTGGACTTGTGAATGTAATTCTTACCTGACAATTGTACTTATTGTATATAGTTTTACTATGTTCATTAAAACCTTCCCTTTTATTTAGACAAAAGGGGGAAATGTGTGATATTTTGAACAAATTCTGACAATTAAGTTTGCTCTGAGTCAGAGGGTGGAGCTAGCCACTAGTTAACGAAAATTAACCATAGAGGTTTTGGAGAACTGAGTCAATAGGAGACAGGAAGAAGTAAGGCGGGGCTGAGAGAGAATCTTGGCCTTTTAGATGGAGGAATGGAGAGAAGTCACTGGTGGCTTCTTTACCACTTCTCTGATCATTTAGGTTCTTATCTTGCCTTATCTTTCTGACTCCTGATTTTTTATTGACAAAGAATAATTAGATAAAGGCTTCTGCAATGTGTGGGTTAGCCTAGGGTTGCAGGGTCTTTTGTCTTTTGGGCATCAGTTAGTGTGGTTATCTGAAGCTAGGACTTGCGCCAGTCACCTTTCCAACTGTCCCTCTGATAGTTTCTTCTGCACATTTCCTCAGTTGTGTCCTGGGGATCCAGACTTAAACATTTTACTGTCACACACAAAGGTCTTTCCCATCCCACCCCATTCTCATTTTCTAAAATTTGAGCCATAGAACAGAAAAAAAAAAAAAGTAAGTCTAAATAAAGACATGAAAATTTATTTCCTTCAGCGAATCTTCTCTTACAATGGCAAGATACCGAGGACACAGAGGCTGGGGGACAGCTCAGTGACAGGCTTGCAGAGGTTGTGTGAGGTCCCGAGTTCAGTCTCTAGCACCTGTGGGTGGGGATGGTGGTCGTAGTGTTTGCTTAGCTTCACCATTTCCTTAATTGAAGCAGCGTTCTCTGGGAGTGCAGACTCCAGTACTGTTTTATGTTTAGTCTTCCCTGGGTCACAAACTGAGCAAGTGAAAGAGCCGGAACAACAGCACAGTCTTTCAGAGGTGGCTCAGAGGCTGTCATCCAGAAGACCCAAGTTTGAGTCCCAGCACTCACATGGCAGCTCGCCACAGTCGGTAACTCCAGTTCCAGGGGATGCGACACCCTCTTCTGGCCTCCTCAGGAACTAGGCATGCATGTTGTGTAAAGACATACATGCAGGCAAACACTCGTAATAACAAATTTAAACAGGAGTGTACCTACACACAAATTCAGAAACATTGTGCTAGGCTATTTTTCTGTGAGCACAGAAGCAACTCAAATGTGAGTTGAGATTTGTTAATAGTTTAGATACTAAGATAAATTACCCCAGGCACACTTGGCAGTTCCTGTGAATGCAACATCCACAAGCCATGTGACAGAAGATGTTTGCTCCTACAGCCCTTGGAGAAAATGGCCCACATCCAAATGAATCAACACCCTTCCCTCGGCTTTTCATCATTAGCATCTATCTCCTCAATCAACTCTGCTCCTTAGAGCTGTTGTTCTTGCCTCTAAAGCAGCTGGGACAAGCACCGGTACAGGCTGCCCTATCCTGGTTTCACTGACATTTTTGGTTGTCTGTTAGTAGGAACCTCTTTTGGCAATGGGATCATCTCAGAGCGTCTCTCTTCCTTAGGAGGCTCTGCCTCTGCCAAGAGGCCACATCCTCTTGCAGTAGATCTCTGGCATGCCCTTCAGCAGTGCCCGGGAGGGATCTTGATGGCCTGATTTGAGCTAAGCAGCCAGGGAAGCACAGGTCTGCCTTTCCACCCACTTTTTAATCATGTGGTGGGCAATAGCTAACTTGGGAGGCAACAACAATGGGAGAGCATCACTCTGCTGCTGAAGAAAGGAGCCCTTTCTCAACAGGGCTGTGGCCACCTCATCGAGACTGAACCAGGCAGCTGCTTCTAGTTCTTTCTGATTCACCTGGATCTGAAAGACAATGGGGGGAGGGGAGGTGCAAAATTAGGAACTGTAAAATTTAAAATACTAGGCCTAAAGTGAGAAACTCATATAAAACTATGTTTTCTTAAATGATAACACTTGGCATTGATGGGCTAGGTTAAAATCAGTTCTCCATATTGTCTGGTAAAACAACAGAGAATTAAATGTATTTTTACATAGTTCTTTTTTTAAAAAAAAGGTAAATTAAAAAAAATCCTATTCGGCCGGGCGTTGGGCGTTGATGGTGCACACCTTTAATCCCAGCACTTGGGAGGCAGAGGCGGGTGGATCTCTGTGAGTTCGAGACCAGCCTGGTCTACAAGAGCGAGTGCCAGGATAGGCTCCAAAGCCACAGAGAAACCCTGTCTCGGAAAAAAAAATCCTATTCATACAAGGCTAATAGCATTTGCTTATCCTGGTTTCAGTCCCAGTGTACAGACACATAAAATCCCAAAGTATAGATACTAAAATATTGAGTGGTGAGTTATAATTAATTGTATAACTATTTCAATTAAAGAGCAGCTGCAGGGTCAGCATGATGGCTCAGCAGGTAAAGGTGCTTGCTGCCAAGCCTGACAACCTGAGGTTGGCCCCTAGGACTCACACAATGAAAGGAGAAAATGGGCTCCCACAGCCTGCCTCTGTTTTTCACATAAATACACACAAATACATTTATACAAATGTTGCTGTCTCTAAAGGATAAAGGTTAATGATGACCTAAAGCAAGAAGCAAAGTAAACACAGACTGTCCCAGGAAGTAGAAGCAGATTAGCGAGCCCATAAAAACCAGAGGTCAGAATAGGCAAACTGGTAGGCAGGGCCTTGGGTGACTTCCATCTGTCAGACATGCTACAGACAAGCAAGGTGGATTTAGGGAAGACACCAAAGTCCCTTTCAACCAGAAGACCCTATAGTTTTATGGCATTAGTCCCCAACATCCTGAATTCCATGAGCAGTTATAAGACCAATCACCAAATTGTTAAGTGAGGTGTGTGTATTCTGTCTCTATAAAAGGTACCATTAAGTTGGGTGGTGGTGGCACATGTCTTTGATCCCAGCACTAGGGAAGGCAGAGGCAGGCAGATCTCTATGAGTTTGAGACCAGCCTGGTCTACAGAGGGAGTTCCAGGACAGCAAGAGCTGTTATACAGAAAAGCCCTGTCTTGGAAAACAAAACAAAAGAAAACAATAGGTTCTGCTAAAAGCTAAAGGTGAAAAATCACAACATAAATGATGTTGGCACACTGGCTACACATGCCAAAGATTGAAACTGAACTCTTTAGGCCAAAAAAAGACACAAAATAGGTTAAAAATTAAATGCACATTTAGGACCTCACATAAACCTCTTAGAAGAAACCACTATGTTTCGTGATACTGGACTGGGCATTGACTTTTTTAGATGTGATATTAAAAGCAAAGGCAGGAAAAGCTAAAGTAGACAGGATGAGGAGAAGAAATACATATGGCCAACAAATATGTGAAAAAAATACAGAGTGTCACTAATCAGAGAAATGCAGAACAAAGCCACAATGAGCGACCACTGCATACCTCCTAAGATGGTGTGGGGGTTTGAATGAGAATGGCCTCAATAGGCTCATATGTTTGAATGATTGGTCCCCAGCTGGTGGAACTGTTTGGAAAGGGTTAGGAGGCATGTCCTTCTTAGAGGAAGTGTGTCAATGGGGATGGGCTTTGACATTTCAAAGGCCTATGCCATTCTTAGCTCTCTCTCTCTCTCTCTCTCTCTCTCTCTTTCTCTCTCCCTCCCTCCTGCTTGCAGAGCAGATGGAATCCCTCAGCTACTTCTCTGGCACCATGCCTGCTGTCTGCTGCCATGCTTTCTCCCATGATTGGTCATGGACCCACCCTCTGGAACTGTTAAGCAAGACCCAGTTGAGTGCTTTGTTTGACAAGTTGCCTTGGTATTTCTTAGCAATAGAAAAGTAGCTAAGTCAGATGGTTACTATAAAAAAAAACAAAGAAGCTTGGCATGATGGCACACACTTGTAATCCCAGCACCTGGGAAGTTGAAACAGGAAGACCCTAAGTTTGAGTCTAGCCAGAGTGACACAGTAAATTGAAGGTCAGCCTGAGCTACATATAGTAAGACCCTGTCTCAAAAATGAACAAATGGACAACAAATGTTGGCAAGGATATGGAAATGGAGGGCCACTATAAACTATTGGCAGAAATGTGAATTGGTGCAACCACTATAGAAAACTATGGAAATTCTATAAAAAATAAAATAAAATAAAAAGGTGGTTCTGGCGTTTAATCCCAGCATTGGGGAGGCAGACAGGTGGGTCTCTGTGAGTTTGAGGCTGGCCTGATCTACATAGTAAATTCTAGGTCAGCCAAGAAAACAGAGTGAAATCCTATCTCAAAATAAAAATTTAAAAAGTAGAACTATCACTTGATCCAGCAATCTCATCTGACCATATATCCAAGTGAACTGAAATCAGGGGGCTCAAAGGTACCTTTACATCCCGTTGTTACGGTGACATGACTCACAAATGTGATGTAAACAGTCTAGATGTCTGTCATTAAAGAAAGTGTGACAAATACATATCATGAACTAGTATTGAGGGTTTTTTTATTTTATTTTATTTTTTTTGAGAGTGTCTAATGTAGTCCTACATTGCCTTCAACTTGCTATGCCAACCAAAGCTGGCCTTGAACTCTCGGATCTTCCCAAGTACTGAGGAAACAGGCATTTGTCACCCTGGCTGGCATTACTGAGTTTTTTAAATGAAGGAGATCCTACATTTATAATACGATGATGGGCCTGGAAGACATGCTAAGTGGAGTAAGCCTGATGCAAATTCCGCATGGTCTCAGCTGCATGGAGACACTAAAATGGTCAAACGTGCAGAAGCAAAGCATAGAGTTGTTCCCAAGGCCTGGAAGGAGGGGGAAACAGGGAAGCAGTGATCAAAGGATATAAAGTCTCACTTATATATAATAAGTTCTGGAGGCCTGTACAATACCAACAGTTAGCAATATTCTGTTGAATACATTAAAATAAGGTTTATATGAATTGCTCTTAGCACAGAGGAAAAGCAGGGGGACAGAAAAGGAGGGGTAAGTTTATGCATGGCACCTATAATGATGTTTGACTGATGGCTCCTAATACATGCTTATCTTCAAACCCAGCAAGTTAGATGCATTAGAAGTCTACAGACATCCGGAGACATTTCTTTTAAAAAAACAAACAGGATTTCATATAGTCTAGGCTAACCTCAAACTTCTGATCATCCTGCTTCCACCTCCTAAGTGTTGGGATTATAAGCAGGTATTACTAATTTGGGTTTATATGGTGCTGAGGACTGAACCCACGACTCTGTGTGCATTAGGCTTACACTCTACCAACTGAGCCACACCTCCAGTCTATCGGTAGACTCTATGTTAATTATACTTCAACAAGGCAGCTCAAAGGGAAGCTGTTCCATAACTGAGATACATACAAGGGAGAATGATGATTGTTTGTTTCCATTCTCAAGTGCAAACTCCTCAGGATACTGATTGTCTTCTATACGGACCTATGACCCAGACAGTCAGTATTCCTTAAGACTCGTGCTCAGAAAGTGCTCTCTGGCTGATGAAGGGAAAGTTGAGGATTTACCTCTGTCTGCCCTGCTTTCACCGTTGCATGACAAGCAATCATAAGCGAGCTATTGGGAAAGGGCCAGTGCTGGGACGAAGAGTACTGTAGGCTTTCCACTTCCAGGCCCACCTCTTCTGCAACCTCTCGCCGGACGGCCTCTTCCACACTTTCACCTGAAAGCACTCAGATTAATTCCGGACAGCCCTGGAGCAGGAAAACTCTATGTTATCTATTGTGTGAAAGGAGTCTGAATGTGGTGCTCTTGCGAGGCTCCCTAGTCGCAGTTCCCAGCACAGGAATAAGCCCCTGAGTACGGTAAGTGCTCATCTAGTGGGTTGGTTATAATGCAGGGGGGGGGGTGTAGCAATGAGGGAGGTTCCTGCTGCCCTCAGCTGTATGAGTGTCCCGTCTCACCATCCTGAGACTCTACTCAGTAAACTAAAAGAGATAACAGTATAAGGAAATGTAAGTAAGCATGGAATTCTGGTTAGGAGCATTGTGTGCCAACTTTCTGATGTATTTTCTGATGTATTTTGTACATCAGAAATAAGATGGGCTGGTGGCCGGGCAGACAAATGGGCAGATGCGTGTGTGGGAAGAGTGTAATAAGGATGATAGAATGAGGCGGTGGTTGCATCACTGTATCATTCTTCCAGCTATGCTGCGTGTTCCAAATGTTGCCTCCTGTTTTGTGGGAAAATTATATACAATTCCAGGACAGTTTCCTTGACATAAGGATGAATATTTGTGACTAGAAGCATGGATGGCAACAGGGCAAATTGTTTTCTTTTCCACTCTCACCTGCAGCTCCTCCCCTAAACTCCTTACCTATATCACAGAAGCCTGCCAGGGCAGAATACAGTCCCTTGGGAAAGGAGCTCTGGCGGGCAAGTAGGCACCGGGCCCCATCTGTCACCAGTGTGATCACCACAGGGGCCATCTAGGAAAGAACAATGGAAATTGAGATGCTGGCATTTGAGGGTATAGAAGGCAAAAGGAACAGGTTATCATGGAAGCCTTCTGAGCACACAGGCTCCCTTCCCCGTGACAGAGTGGTAGCAGCCTTCTTAGAATACTGCCTCAATTCTCTTTTTCTTCTCTTTTCAATTTACATAGCAAATTCTAGGAGAGCTGGGGCTACACAGAGAGGCCCTTTTTCAAAAAACAAAGAGAAATAGTTTTGAGATAAATTTATTTATTTATTTATTTATTTATTTATTTATTTATTTTCAAGACAGGGTATCTCTACATAGTCCTGGCTGTCCTGGAACTCACTATGGAGACCAGGTTGGGCTCACACTCACAGAGAGCTGCCCACTTCTGCCTCTCAAGTGCTGACCACAATGCCTGGCTGTTTACTTTTATTTATCTGTATGAATGTTTGGCCTGTATGTAGGTATGTGCGCCAGACACATACCCAGTGTCCAAGGAGGCCAGAAGAGGGTGTTGGATCCCCTGGGACTGGGGTTATAGAGGTTTGCCAGCTGCCACGTGAGTGCTGGGAATCAAACCTTGATCTTCTGGAAGAGCAGCCAGTGCTCTTAACTGCTGAGCTCTCTCTCCAGCCCCTTACTTTGTTTTTTTGTGAAAGTACCTCAGGTAGCCTAGGCTGCCTTTACCTCCCAAGTACTGGAATCACAGGTTACATCCCACCCCATCGCGCCCACCTGTGGATAGTAGATGATGTTACTGGAAGGACACACTCGCTTGCTGCCGGCCATGTTCTTCTTAGTGGGCTGCCCACTTTTGCTGCAGAACTGGTGACCATCGTGCCAGCGGAGAAGAGCCTGAGCCTAGAGACACAAAGGAGGGTCCGGCTTTAGTGAAAGGTGTCTAGACCAATTCATGGGGGAATCTTTTTGTAGCTCACTTATTTCTTTTTCTTTTTTCTTTTTTTTTTTTTTTTTTTTTTTTTTTTTTTTTTTGGTTTTTTGAGACAGGGTTTCTCTGTGTATCTTTGGAGCCTGTCCTGGCACTGGCTCTGGAGACCAGGCTGGCCTCGAACTCACAGAGATCCGCCTGCCTCTGCCTCCCGAGTGCTGGGATTAAAGGTGTGCGCCAACAACGCCCGGCTTGCTCACATTTCAAGAAAGTTGTTTAATTGTATTATTAACAGTGTGTGTGTGTGTGTCGGGGGAGGGTACATGTGTCATGGTGCATGAATGGGTCAGAGGAGAACTTGGTGGGGTTGGTTCTCCCCTTCCACCTTTACAGGGATCATTCCAGGTCACCAGGCTTGTATGGCGAGTACCTTTACCTGCTGAGCCATCTATCTCACTGGTCCTAGCTCACCTATTCCAAGTGGCTTTAAACTGTAAAATAAAGAAATGACCTAAATATATTTTCCTAGCATCAAAAATCTAAAAGAACTCATATTTTATGTACTTAAAAATTTTTTTGGGGGGGGGCTGGAGAGATGGCTCAGAGGTTAAGAGCACCGACTGTTCTTCCAGAGGTCCCGAGTTCAATTCCCAGCAACCACATGGTGGCTCACAACCATCTGCAATGAGATCTAGTGCCCTCTTCTGGTGTGCAGGCATACATGGAAGCAAAATGTTGTATACATGATAAATAAATAAAATCTTTAAAAAAAATTTTTTTTTGCAGTGCTGGGAATCTACAGTTTCACATACACTAGGAAGTAATATTCCATTGCACCATATCCCCAGCCTAAAAGGTATTTTTGAAATGTACTAGGAATTGCTTCAAACATAAAAATATACAGCAATATAATATAACCATAAATTGTGACCCAGCTTAAAAAGAAAACATTTTTAATTTCTATTATATTTAAACATTTCTTTCATACTTATTCCTCCTCAATGAAGTTATGATTTTTTTTTGATGTGTGTGTGTGTGTGTGTGTGTGTGTGTGTGTGTGTGTGAATGTAGGTCAGAGGACAACTTGAGGAACCAGTTCTTGCCTTCCACCTTGAAGAAGGTCTCATTGGCTTTTCTGCACAGTGTACTCCAGTCCAGTGGCCCCTGAGTCATTCTCCTGACTCTGCTTGAGATCTTGCTATAAGGAGTATTGGGATTCCAGTGGCACACAGAAGCATCTGGCTTTTACATGGGTTCCCAGGATGGAACTCCGGTCAGGTTTGGGCAGCAGGTGCTTTCACCCACTGTTTCCCCAACTCAAGTTGTGATTTTCCTTTTCCATATAAAAAAGGCTCAGGAGGGTCTCCTTAATTTAGAACAGACAATAAAGCAGCACAGCAGACAGTGTTGTGGTGCCTGTGTAGATGCCTATAATCCCAGCACTGGGGGAATGGAGACCAGAGGACCAGGAGTTCAAGGCCATCCTCAGCTATATAGTAAGTTGAAGGCAAAGTTGGGCTACTTGAGATCTTTAAAACTAAAGCAACAACAATAACAAACCAGTATGATAACTGTTCTCAACTTGACAGGATTTAGAATCCTCATGGAAATAAATCTCTGAGCATGTCTGGGAAAGATTATCTAGACAGGTTCACTGAGGTGAGAAGACACACCCTTAATTGTATCTAGCACCATTTCATGGGCTGGGGTCCTGGATGGAATATAAAGGAGAAGCCAGGATGATCCTTCATCACTCTCAGCCTCCTGACTGTGGATATAATGTGACGTCCCTACCATGAAGGACTGCCTGCTGGGACGGTGAGCCATAATGAGCCTTTCTCTCCTGAGTTGTATTTGTCAGCGTTTGTTATCACAGCAGCAGGAAAGGTAATCCGTACGTCTAACATGTAGGCAACTCTGAGTTCAACCCTAGTACCACATAAACCAGGCATACAAGGGCATACTTATAATCCTGTTAATTCAGAAATGGAGGCAGAAGGACCACAAGTTCAAGGCCATCCTCAGCTATATAGCGAGTGAGTCTGGGGTAGATAAGACCCTGTTTCAAGAAATGAAAATTGAAAAGCCAACAATAAAAATTAACAAGTGAAATCTAAAGCTATGAGAACAAGTTATTAAAGCAATGTAAAATTATTTCTCGTATAAAAAAAAAACATGATGTACATCATGCTATAGAGTTAAAAAGTATTTATGATGTTGGGCTGGAGAGATGGCCTAGTGGTTAAGGGTACATACTGCTCTTGCAGAGGACCAGAGTTCAGTTCCCAGCACCAATGACCTGTAACTGGCCGTTCACAACAACTCATAACTTCAGCTCCAGGGGACCTGGTGCCCCTTCTGGCCTCTGCAAAGACCTACTCTCAGGCATACATGCACATTCACTTAAAAACAAAATTTTTAAAAAGCATTTATGAAGAAAATCTGTAGAAACATATATATCAATAAATAATAATTAATATCCATCAAAATATACAGATCCTGTTGCCATGCTCTTAGGAGGCAAATCTTCACAACCGCTCTGCTAAAAGCAAGGCAAGGAACAGTGAATCATCTTTCACAGTACACTGTCCTCTGTCAATGTATAGGAAGGTCTGTGATCTTTGAGAATCTGTGTGTCACCCAGGATCGGGTACCCATGTGTATTTGCTGGTAGACACAGCTTTGCTCTACTTCCTATGGAGCTGAGAAACCAGAACTACCGTGAACAGCAAGGAGGAATCCATGGAGTTCAGCTGAAAAAGAGCCTGCCTCAGCTTGATGAAAGAGCCTCCAAGCTCTGCTTCCATTTCAGATTTTGGCAAGGAAACTAGGAAATTAGAAAAGAGAACATGATTAAACATGTCCAGCTTTGCCTTCGAAGCCCATCCCGTCAGAGCTCTGCTTCCCAAACTTGCCTACAGGACTCACCTAGGGATCTGGGAAATTACATAGGTTTTCAAGCTTCTATCTGGAGAGAGAGGGAGAAGGAGAAGGGGAGGGAGGGAGAAGGAGAGGGAGGGGGAGGGAGAGAGAGAGAGAGAGAGAGAGAGAGAGAGAGAGAGAATGTGTATGCCTGCTCATACACAAGGCTGTGTGTTACCATGGGATAGCTGCTCTGGGTTCCCAAACATGAATTTTGGAAGATTAAAAAAAATTAAACAGGTACCAAGTGATTCTTAGGTTTTTTGGAAAATGGTAGCGCACAGTATTTCACAAGATCTGTTTTAGAGCAGCAATACCAATCCCTGGAAAGCATAAAGTGGATGTCTAAGTTCATCCGACGACCATTACACTTACACACCAGACCCTGAAGAGAGAGGAAGAGCATGGGAGGATCCAAACCGTCTCTAAAGTGTGGGGTGGAGGACCCAGAGCTACTCCATGGAAACACCTTATGAAAAATGATACCATAATTATGTTTGTTTTTTTGAGACAGAATGCTGTGTAGCCAGGCTGGCCTCACACTCTATATAGATAAGGATGATCTTTAACTCAAGTGCAGGGATTACAAGCATGTACCATGATGCCAAGCCTTTGCTGGTTTGTTTTGTTTTGTTTTGTTTTAGAGCTCCCCTTCTCTCCACTCAAAAACTCACTATGTAGGCCAAGCTGTCCTAGAACTTAAAATTCTTTGGTCTCAGCTGCCCCCAAGCACTGGGATTATATGCTGCTATACCAAGTTTTAAAGACATGAATTTTAAAATACTTATTAAATAGTTAAGATATAAAATGTGTAAATGGGTTCCCATCACTTGGACAAAAATCATTACACCTTGATTTTCAGCCAGGTGGGGTAGGGCACACCTGTTACCCCAGCAGGAGGCTGGGGCAGAAGGTCTGAATCTGAGGCCAGCCTAGGCTACATAGCAAGTTCCAGGCTATCTAAAGCTTGATAGTCCTTTCTTACTCTTTTCAGTGATGATAGTGGGTAATAGGGTTTTATATCCTTATTTAAAGAGAAAAACTGATAATGTTTTTATATGTGTAAAATTTTCTTTGAAATGGTATCATGCAAAACCCTTAAGACTGAGAGCGGCAGGAGGTATCTATTAAGAAAAGGGGTACGCACCGTGTTTGGAGGCTGCGCTATTCAGACCTAGATCCAAAGCAAACCATGCTTCCTGCTGGTTGGAGCATCCAATCAGCACTGAATCTTCTATTCTTTGGGAATCCTGTCCAAACTTACCCAGGAGCCCTTCCAACTCTAAGAAAGAAAAAAAAAGAAGAGGGGGAGAAAAAATGAGACACAGACTTCAGTCACATCACCACAGCCATGTGAGGCCCTGAGGAAGTACTTCTACTTAGAGCACATAGTTACTACCTCACGATCGGCTGGGCTCTGTTACAGAATACTTCTTACATACCAAAATTGGTGCATGCTCAAATCTCTTATATAAAATAAGGTAGTGTTTGCTACTATTTTCAATAGCTCTTGGTTGCATAAAGTATCAAATAACAATGCAACTATATACATGATTGTTTTACACTGTTGTTTAGGGAATAATGAAAAGAATGAACACCTGACTGTGCTTAGTATATCATAGACTTTTATTTTATTGGCTGCAGGACTTTTTTTCCCCTGCTACTGGGACTGAATCTAGGAACCTCATTGTGGAGGTCTGAATAAGAATGGCCCTGTAGGCTCCTATGTTTGATACTTGGTTCCTAGTTGGTAGAACTACTTTGGAAGGATTAGGAGATGTGGCCTTGTTGGAGGAGGTGTGCTACTGAAGGGGAGGGGGTAAAAGCCCATGCTGCTTCCAGTGTGTTCTCTGCCTCCTGGTTTCAAGATGTAAGCTCTCAGCTACTTACAGTTCCAGTGCCATGCCTACCTGCCATGATGCTCTCATCCCTCTCAAATGGTGAGCCTGAAATACACTCTTCCTCTGTAAATTGCCTTGGTTGTGGTACTCACATATGTTGGTCATGTATTCTACCACCGAGTCACATCCTCTGCACTCAGAATTTTAAAAAAATATGTTCAATCCACACTTGAATCCCCAAAACAAAATTCCAAAATCCAGAGGTGTACATATCTAGTTGCATGTACTAAAGGTCTCAAAATAAATTTTATTCGATTTTGACCTAATCAAAAATCAAGTTAGGATGCAAATATTTTTAAATTTTATTTATTTTTATTTTATGTGCATTGGTGTTTTGCCTGCCAGTATGTCTGGTGAGAGTGTCAAATCTTGGAGTTACAGACAGTTGTTAGCTGCCATGTGGGTGCTGAGATTTGAACCCAGGTCCTTTGGGAGAGCAGTTAGTACCCCTCACCGCTGAGCCATCTTTCTAGCCCCTAGGATGCAAATCTTGAACTATGTAAACCGCAGTTCCAGAGTCTAGAAGTCACTAGCCCTAGGCAAGGGTGAATAACCTTCTTTGTAAAGAGATAAATATTTTATAGTTTATAATATAGTCTGCTGTACTACTCAATTGCCATTGTAGCATAAAAGCAACTGGACACAGTATGTCAAAGAATGAATGTGGCCATGTTACAATTTCATTTACAAAACGGGCAGTGGCCCATCCTATTTGAACAGCAGCTACATGGACCTCCCACCAAGAATAACTAGGAATTCAAGTTCATACAATGAGTTATTAATTAGTAGAAACAGTTATGTGAGCTTGTGATGGGGGATATCCTTCTGTACGCTGTGAATATATGTTTCTCTTATTGGAAACAAAGCTGTTTCAGCCAAATGGACAGGCAGGATTTAGCCAGGTGGGAAATCCAAACAGGTATAGAGAAAGGTAGGAGGCAGAGTCAAGGAGATGACATGTAGCTGCCGAAGAGGAAAGGGGCCCCGGCATCTCTGGTAAGCCAAGACCACATGAAAATATACAGATCAGTAGAAATAGGTTAATAATTGAGAGAGCTATCCAATAAGAAGCCTGAGCCTTCAGTCAAACAGTTTATAATTAATATAAGCCTCTGTGTGTTTATTTGGACTAAACGGCTGTGGGACCAGGCGGGACAGAAACTTCTTTCCAAAAGCTTGAGTTTCAAGAGCTATTTGAAAAATCTGTACTCATTTAAATACAAGGATATTTTTTTGAGCTTCAGTGTACCCTGAATTTCACCTAGTGGTCAAAGCCTTGTCTATCCCACTCTGACCTCACCTGCTCGGCTAAGCCGGGGGACCAGGTATCGATGTCCTGATGCCTGTAGCAAAGGAGCCAGATCATGAAAGAGGTAAAACACTCCAGTCTGCAGAGCTTTCCTGCAGGCCTCATCGTCTTCCTTCAACTCAAATAAATACCTGTATTTGGGAAACAAGCCATAGAAAGACCATACTTAGGCTAGTGAAATGACCAAACCTGACAACCTGACTTCAATCTCCAGAACCCACATGGTGGAAGGAGAGACAACTCCTTCAAGTTATGCTGACCTCCGAATACATGCTGTGACATATACTGACACAGCCCAAGTTAGATGAACAAGCAAACATAAATAAACCACACTCGGTTGTCTGTCATTCATTTGGGGGAATTCTTAACTTTCCTGTACTGTGTGTATGTATGTATGTATGTATGTATGTATGTATGTATGTATGTATGTATGTATGTCACTACTGGAACCTGAACCCAGGGACATGAACATGCTAGGCAAGTTCTCCAACATTGAGCTATATGCTCAATTCTCTTCTCACCTTTTATCACTAAGTTGCCCTGGTTGGTCTTGAACTCACTCTGTAGTCCATCTAGCAAAGCCTTGAATATAACCCTGCTGCCTTAGCTTCTAGAGTAGCTGCAATTACAGGTCTGTGCCATCATGCCAAGCTCCATTCACTTATTTTCATCCCAGTTTGCTCTGAAGTTGAGGTGGCTACAAGCAACTGTGCACTCCGGTCTTCATCTGGCTGCTCCCATCCATCCCTCTGTGAGCCACTGCAACTTTTGTTCATTGTCCATCTCTCCAGAAAGACTGGTTTCTTTAAGGACAGGGTCTCCTACTCTTGGCTTTCCATCTTAGTCACTAGTATATGAAAATGACTTGAACTTCAAGGGCAATAAATACTGAATCAAATCTTTAGGAGCTTTGCCAGTGTTACACAGTGAGGGAAGGATTTGCAGGCAGAGGACTGAAAGGAAAGGGAGTATGGTAAAAAAAAATATCAGCACAGAAGACCCACAGGTGGGAACAGGCTGTAATGTGAAGACAGCAAACACTGCACCTTTAGGAATTCTCATGCAATCTAGGGAAGATAAGGCACATATGTGACCATCAGTAGTGCACACGTGTTTCAGACATGAATTCCTTTGGCTCCGTAAGTGTGGTCCACTGGTAAAGCCCATTTTGACCTATTGACATATTCATAATTATAATATTTTCAGTAGCCAAAAAAAAAGAAATGTAGATTAAGAAAATTTACTGGACTGGGCATCGAGTTGGCACATGCCTTTAATCCCAGCACTCAGGAGACAGAGGTGGTGGATCTCTGTGAGTTCCAGGGCAATGAGGGTTATGTAGAAAGATCCTGTTTTAAAAAAAAAGGAAAACATACTGGTTTCTCAAAAAGAGACAATAATAAAGTAAGTTCTAGACTTTCCTAGTGCCTTCATTTAGTGTGGCTGGAGTCTGTCCATAAGCTTTACAAATTGAATCAGAGTCTTTAAGATTTAGTGTGGAAGCTGGGTGGTGGTAGAGCATGCCCTTAATCTCAGCACTTGGGAGGCAGAGGCAGGTGGATCTCTGTGAGTTTGAGGTTATTCTGGTCTACAGAGTGAGTTCCAGGACAGACTCCAAAGCTACACAGAGAAACCCTATCTTAAAAAAACAAACAAACAAAAAACCAAACCAACCCCCCCCCCCAAAAAAAAGATTCAATGGTGGAGCTGGAGAGATGGCTTACAGGTTAAAAGCACTGGCTGTTCTTCCAGAGGTCCCGAGTTCAATTCCCAGTAACCACATGGTGGATCACAACCATCTACAATGAAATCTGGGATCTGGTGCCCTCTTCTGGCCTGCAGGCATACATGCAGGCAGAACACTGTATACATAATAAAATAAAAATCTTAAAAGATTCAGTGGTGACTAAATGAGCACCATCTTGGGGCTTAATTATTAACCAGTTTTGCCTGTTAAAACCCTAAAACCAAACTAGGGTTGTATTTCAGTGTTAGGGTGCTTGTCTGGCATATGAAAGGCCCTGGGTTTGATACCCATACAAAAGGACCAAAAAGTTAAGCCCTAAAACAGACTCTCAATTATATGCCATATTTTGACAAGTAAGTGGGAAATGTTTTACAGGTGTTTCCTGTAAGATATAGGAACATGTGTAAAAGCAGAGTTGTCACTGCATGAAAACACACAGCAGAACAAACACCACAGTAGCCATGTTAGGAGCCTTATCTGTTGAGGAGTTACAAAGAGCTCTTTAGAAATGGAGACAAAAGAAGCCCGAACTTTTAAGACTTGTGATGTTTTTAAACTTATTTGAGGTGACTGTAGTCTCCAGGGTAAAGAGCAAATGTATGTGAAAGGAGAGACAAGGGCCACTCCAGAGTTACCAAATACAAACAATGGAAACACTGCTGCCTTCAAAGACAGTAGGACAAAGAGAGTGGGGCAGCCTTTGCATTGTCCCAATGAGCCTTAAAAGCAAAACACTGATGTGGAGGTCTTCAACCAATGGCCTCAATAGACCGGGTGAGATCCAAAGTTTGGACACTCTTTACACTCAGTAAAGAACTCAGTTTCTCCCTTTCATTATAATACCATGGAAGTCATTGTACTGACTGCCAAGGCTGAAAGTAGTTATTTTAAGCTTTATCTTTTTTTTTTTTTTGCCGAGACAGGGTTTCTCTGTGTAACAGTTCTAGCTGTCCTGAAACTTGCTCTGTAGACCAGGCTAGCCTCAAAATCACAGAGATCTTTTGGCCTCTGTCTCCTGAGTGCTGGGATTACAGGTGTGAGCCACCACCACCCTGCTGATTTTTCTTAAAAGAATAAAAAAATAGCCATTATTGAAAAATAAGAAAATATAATTTTACACACACACACACACACACACACACACACACACACACACACACACT